ATACCCCGTCGTATCCTTATCCGGTATTCCGCAGCCGTCATCCGCTCGCCTAGATGACAAAGGATCGTACTCCATTGCCCCATACAGTGCTCGAGGAAGTCTCTTACTGTACAGTCTACTTTGTACAGTTCGAGGACCCTCTTTAGCCATGTATGGGGCACAGAGTCGAGTAAACATTATTTTGATTTTATTTTAGGAGGCAATCGAGCAGGCGGGCCACCTAATGGGAAGTGTTTTCCGCCACCCATTCTCACTCGCCACACCGAAGTTGCATTAGAAGTAGGCTCTCTTCTTGAAGGTCGGTAAGTTCGGTCGTATCGTTCCAGAAATACCGATGATGACAACTCATACCACTACTTGGTTGTATGTGTGAAAATTGCGTTAAGAACGCACTGTGGTGGACTACCAACCATCGAGGTGGTAGCAATTACACTACATACACACTACACTACATTTACAGGTATTTCACTGTTTGACGCGGCGCACGGTGATGAATCTCAGCAGGAAGCATTAATCCGAACACATCCTCAAAGCACTCCGCGTTATAAATGCAATAAAATTGCAAATAGATGAAACATCTCTTTGGGAGACCAAAGGATCGAGACCATTGTAAAGGACCTGATCACCTGATCAACGACGATTAGAGCAGCTCTACGTTGGATGCGGTAAAATGGAAATAGCTTGTATTGGGATGTCCGGAGATGAGAACAGTACTCCATGTGCGGCCGAATTTACGCTTTTTAGAGATGCAGGCTATGGGATGGCAGGAAATACTGCCTCGCTCTACCCACGACACTTCTTTGAAGCTAACTTGACTCTTCAAAGTGACTGTGAAATTCAAGGCTGTTCCATAATATAACTGTGGTAGGATCACGCAACAGTGATCACTGGGCAGCGGGTATCACTTAACATCAGGTGAACCACCAACCAGCTCGTTTGCCACTTTCTCACATAGAAAAAAATATGGCAAATCCAAGAATTGTAATCGTTTCAAACCAAACTCACGCATCTAGTTCTTGTCCCAGACACTGAAATTGCGAATTCCAATGTTAAATGCCGAAGCCGATTTACCAAGTACATGGCGGTGAAACGAAACATTGTGAAGAAACTAGTGTCAATACAGTAAATGAATTAGTTGGTATTTATTTTTTATAATATGACTTAGATGTTTTAGACATGTAAGAAGTCTGAGACGTCACCCATTGCCGATCCTAGCCTTTTGATTAGGTTAGAGCAAGTTTTCCTTTCAGCCCCTTTAGTCGGGGTTTTCACATTGGCTTTATGTTAAATAAATAATAATAACCAAATTTTTCAAATCAATTTATTGCAAAAATTAAATTTTAATTAAATTAAATTTAGTAGCTTTATTATAAACCCTCCTTTAAACTTGAGACAGTTTCTACTGCTACGTAATTAAATTTAAAATTTTATTTTAATTTCAATTAGTAATCACTCCACAATAAAATCTGTTATCTAATGTAGGTAATGATTTGATTTCAACAACTAATTTTATTTTATGTGAAACTTCAAACTTGCATTTTGTATTTGATTTTAATGCCCCTTGCTACTTGGCGCCTAGCGCGACCCAAATAATGTAAATTACATAAATATATTAGAGAGCTCTCATCCTGATGTACTTTGAGTGTGTAGAATTGTAGTTAAAAAATATATATATAATATATGTATAGATAATTATGCTTACTAAACTCTTTTAATTTGTTTAAAACTTTTCCAAATAACGCTACTAAAACAGTAAACACTAAAATCCAAGAGATGCCGTACGATCTTTATGTCTTTGCCTCACAACACAAATAATTTTATTGATCCTGGAAATAAGAATTGACAGGACCGAAAATAGTATTTATAGTAAAAACTATGTTTATTCCTCTGCTGAAATTCAATACCTCTAGGGCTAACTGGCAGTTATATAGTTCTGAAACAAACACAAAAACATTAAATCTGCCTCCTGTTACTATAAATAACTTACAAGTCACTTATAATCAGTTTATTTCCATTCTTACCCAGTCAGCTGAATCATCTATTCCTATTAGGAATTCATACCGTAATAAAATATCCTCCCCCCCTTGGTGGGATTCGGACTGTACCAACATAATTCACCAACGTAAGGAAGCGGAAAAACAGTATTCCTCAAATATGACCATGGAGAATTTTATCTATTATCAAAAGATCAAGCAAAGAAACTACTTTCTGCCAAGAAAAAGCAAGGTTGGCTCTCCTTTTGCGAAAGCCTATCCCCTCGCTCTCACTCTTCGTTGGTATGGAAAAATATAAGGCGATTTCGCGGAGCACTCAACAACTGTAGTTTTCCTTCTACTGACCTCCGTTCATGGCTCACCGATTTCCTTAACATATTGGCACCTCCGTGGGTCCCCTGTCTAGAAGAATTATTCCCCTCAACCTATGCAGATGCCCATGCATCTCCCCATGCATATGACAAATTTGATGAGCCATTTTCTTCTGCTGAACTTCATTTAGTCCTTAAGGATCTTATAGATACTTCCCCTGGAGCTGATGGGATCCCTTATTCATTCTTAACAAAATCTGGGTCTAGTACCCGCAAATACTTTCTAGACCTTTTAAATAAAACATTTATTACTGGATTTATTCCAGATGAGTGGAGAACCCAGCTCATTATCCCAATTCTGAAAACGGGTAAAGACCCCTCGTTGCCGTCCAGTTATCGACCAATAGCTCTCTCTTCTACTCTCTCGAAAATTATGGAACACCTTATCAAAAACCGATTAGAGTGGTTAATAGAAAACAAAGGTTTGCTGCCCAAAACGCAATTCGGCTTCAGGAAGGGATTGAGCACAGTTGACAGCCTTAGCATCTTTATCTCTGAAATCCGACTGGCATTTTCCAAACAAGAATCTATCACCGCAGCCTTTCTTGATATAAGCTCGGCATATGACAATGTGATTCTTCCGCTGCTCAGGCAAAAAATGCTCCAGCTGAGCATTCCCGTGAGGATAATCAATTTCATATCCAACCTATTCTCTAACAGGCGTATCCTTGTTCGCACTCAAGGCGTTTCCCTTCCTTCTAGATCTGTCTGGAAAGGACTTCCACAAGGATCTGTACTGAGCCCCCTTCTTTTTAACATCTACACTTATGATTTAAGTACATCTGTCAATTATACATCCAGTATTTTACAATATGCTGATGATCTTGCTCTCTATGTTACTAATCCTTCTATAGCTGAAGCATCTTCCCACTTATCAACCGCCATTGAATATCTAATCACGTGGTTATCTAATCATGGGTTATCTATATCCCCTTTTAAAAGTAATATTGTTGTCTTCTCTCGACATCGTTTTATCCTTGACCTTTCTATTTCTGTAGGAAACCAGAATATACCAAACAACAATAAAGTAAAATTTCTGGGTGTCTATCTGGATTCAAAATTAACTGGAATTCCTCATCTGTCTTACATTACATCTAAATGTGAAAAAAACCTGAATGTCGTTCGTTCTCTATCTGGTGTCTGGTGGGGTTCCCATCCATATACACAAAAACTCCTATACAACGCGCTAATAAGGAGCCATTTTGACTATGGCTCTTTTCTACTAGAACCTTGTAACAAGGCAGCTCTGGCCACTCTTGATAAGATCCAGTACAAATGTCTCCGCATAATCACAGGTTGCATGAAATCTTCCCCTATAAACGCCCTCCAGGTGGAATGTGCCGAACCACCTCTCCTACTCCGCAGACAACTTATGTCAGATAAGTTCCTATTCAAAGCAGCTCAACTCTTGTACCATCCCCTTCTCTCTAGGCTACAAATCCTCTCCCAATTAGCTAGAGAATCCAGTTACTGGACTCACAAAGACTTACCATGCCTCTTAAAAAGTTATTTTAAATTTGTTAACATACGGTCACCAATTTTCCAATCCACCAAGAATCCGATTTTTGAAACTCCCTTTGAGGCCTTAACGTTCAGCCCTCAAGTAATTCTAGACTTTGGTATACATAAAGATACGGTTGATCCCAATAATACGCTAAAACAAATTATCACTCAACATTGGCATGACTGGTTGCTCATGTATACTGATGCATCTAAATTAACTAATCAAGGCTGTACTGGCTTTGCAGTGTGGATACCGAAGTACAGAATAATTCTCAATAACAAGTGCTCCTCTTATACTTCAGTATTTACCGGCGAATCTCTGGCAATTCTAGAAGCAGTCCTCTACTCAGAATCTCATAATATAAGTAAAACCTTAGTCCTTTCCGATTCATTAAGTTGTCTACAAAATCTATTGTCAAACCCATTCCGTTCGAAGTTGAGGAACCCGACTATTTTAAAAATCAGGGAGACTCTGTTAAAGTGTCACTTAAAGGGGCTAAACGTAGTCCTTGCCTGGATCCCAGGACATCGTGGAATTCAAGGCAACGAATGTGCAGACCAACTGGCCGCTTACTTCTGACTCTCTTTCCTTGCAACATACTTTTTTATATGATTTGATACCATCAGCTAGTTCAGACCTCATGGCCTCATGGCGCAATCTCTGGCGCAAATCTAAACTTATTTCTGGTAAATATTATGCTCGTGCCCAAGAAGACATTCCCAAAAAACCCTGGTTCTTTCAGTATCGTAATGCCAGCAAACAAATTACATCAACCATTTGCCGTCTCCGCCTTGGACATAGCTGCACACCTGTTCACTTAGCCAAGCTTAGAATCAGGGATAACTCAATCTGTGAGTGTGGGCTGGGCGAAGGATCTCCTGAACATATATTTTTTGCTTGTCCCAAATTAACTTTCTCCTTATATGACTTCCTCCCTCCTAATATTCCGCGTCCTACCAATATGTCTGTCATATTATCCCTTGTTTTTACTCCATTTGTCAAAACATTGTGTGATTTCATCCATGTAAATAAAATATTATTAAATGTTAATGTATTTAGACTTTTTGTGATGTGTCACTCCCTTGACTGACATGATATTGAAGAATCCTCAGGCATCAGTTCAGAGATCCCATGGCAGCTAGTGACTCTGAGGATGAAAGACCAACTTTTGATTGGGATGAAATATTTTCTGAAGCACAAAAAGTGAGTGATATTAATCGATTTAATTTAATTATTCTTGTTACAAAACAAGCAATATCATGGTGTATCATTAGAACACAATTAAGTCGCAATTTTTTTATTAATATAAACTCTTTATAGCAAAACAAGAGGAAAAGTTTTGGTCCAAAGAATTTTAGGGTAGAATTCTAGGAGCAGCCTATTATCTTTTGCTACTGCATACAAGACATCTCAAAAATACTAAAGCCTTGTGTTTATAACTTTACAATATTTTTCTGGTGAATGAGATAGCAAGGGATTAAGAGACCTCTTAATGCAACTGCAACATTACAGATGGCAGGAACAGGCTTGGGTGGCAGTTGTTCATTTAAAATCAGGTCAACCTCCCTACATCCTTGCCATTAATCTCAATAAAAAAATGACTGCTCTCAGTACGATTTCCACTAAGATACAACAATAACATTCTGTTTCCTACATTCATTTCATGAGATGCTTAAGACATTGGAAATAAAATTTGTTGAACATATTTATTAAGGATTTGCTTATTCAATTGATGAAATCATATTACAGCGTGACATAAAACATCGTGTCTTTGTGCCTGGGTTCAGAGGGATACCACCGTACCCTAAGGTGTCTGCACTGACACATCAGCAGCATTACCAATGTCTCAAGGTGTTGTGTACTCAGAACCCTCACATTTTGGATGCTGAATTCATACCACGCCCCACAAAGCAAGATTATAGAGTCTTTGAGGTAAATATAAGTATGAAAATCAAATTCAAAACACATTAAATAAAATGTTATTTTATACATTATGTACATATTATTTAACTCACTTTTACACATGAAGGTCTTTGGATTAGCTATGTTATGATTTTAAATTTTCAAACCTAAACTAATTACTTATTGCAATATACACCATTCCACATAAACTTACAAAACAAACATTATCAACTATTACTCAACAAATACAATTTTAATTTAATTATAATTACATATAAAATGCAAATTTTGAATTTCTAGGAAGTCCAAATAACTTACGCTAAAGAACAAAAGGAATATATAGAATGGGCCAAAAACCTTTGGATGACTGGACACTGTATAAGAGCTCTGAGGCCCAAGCCACCGGTAGAGGCAGCTTATGAGGCAGAGTTTGAAGTGAAAGCTAAGGAAATGCAATCTTTCCCTAAGAGATATACAATGGCTGCACAAATACCACTGGAAAGCAGAAACGAGAACTTTGAAATGATCTGTGAAAAAGAGCTAATAGGAGTAGGTGACCTTTATCTTTTCAATTTATAAATCAATATTATTCAGATCCCATCATACTATAAACAAAACCTTTAATCTAGTTACTTATCCACTACCAAATTTACATTTCAAAACAAATATCCAATAAAGAATCAAAAAAATTACTAAAATCTAGCGTACATTCAGCAACTTTATTCGTAATTATAGTTCTTTGATGTTTCGATTTAATTGTTATTTCACAGTCCACTCAAATATTATAAGGACAAAGAGATGTTATACTTAGTTCCATACATTAATTCTGTATATTTTGAGCTAATACTTAAACCGTTGACCACAGGTGGATGTGTCTGAGTTGCCAGAAGTAAACAAGTTGGAGCCTGTACAGAAACGTTTATCGATTATGATGCCTCGCTCCATACCAGAACCATGTACAAAACACCCTTGCCGCTTTGTATTACCAAGTGAGTTACATAAAGCAATCCAAAACGATGTGAATTTATCTAAAATGATTTTATGCTATTACATAATCACTATGTATGGTTAATTGAAATTTTTATTTACATTTATTTATTTCTTTAATCTTTATTGCACAGAAAATTGTACAAAGGCGAGCTTAATGCTATATTGCATTCTCTACCAGCTAACCCTAGGTAGAACAGAAACAAAATGTCAAGGGCAGTAAAGTAGTTATATACAATACATAATTAAATAAATAATATGTAATAATTAGGTAATAAATCTAAAAACTGCCAACGTAAACATATATATATATATATATAAATATATTTACATACATACAAACATATATATAAATATACATACATACATATACATACGTATACACATAAATACATTTCAGATGTTCATACATAGTAAGTACTATTAAGTAGCTAAGACTCAGCAAGGATATGCTCAAACAGTTTTCTTTTAAAAATATTTTTTGTTGGCGATTGTCGCAGGTCAACAGGCAACCTGTTCCAAAGTAAGATTGAAGTGACAGTGAAAGAATTTGACATGAAACCGGAGTGATGAGAGGGTACAGACAGTAACGAATTTTGAGAAGAGCGAAGATTGAGGGAATGCGAGTCCCCGAGGAACTGAAATCTTTCTTTTAGATAGGAAGGTGAGGAGGGGTCATAAAGGATTGAAAACAGAGTAGAAAGGATACGAAAGTCTTTGCGCTGGCGTATCGTCAACCACTTTAGTTGGTTACGGAAGTGTGACACGTGGTCATATTTGCGCAGCCCAAAAACAAATCGTATGCAATTATTCAGTAATCTCTCCAACTTGTTCAGCAACTCTTGGGAAATATTAGTAAGACAGACATCAGCATAGTCAAATAATGGAAAAATAAGGGACTGAACAAGAAGGACCTTAGTAGAGGAAGGCAAAAAGGCTTTAAGGCGATATATGGAACGAAGTATGCCTGTTACCCTGCGACAGATCTCAGTGATATGTAGTGACCAGGTAATAGATGGGTCAATAATTAAACCTAAATCCTTAACTCTACGACAGAAAGGAACAACGCAATCCTCATACTGGACAGGTGGTAAATTAGACATGTCAAGTCGTGAGAGTAGTCGACGGCTACACATGACAATTGCTTGGCATTTGTTGGGATTTAAAGTTATTTTCCGAAGCGCTTGGACCAGCTTGAGATACGACTCAGATCACCATTAACACGAGAAATTGCGGTATGAATGTCACCAGTGAGCGATTGTGAGTATAGCTGAAGATCATCAGCATAGAGGTGGTAAGAACATTGAAGATGGTTAGTGAGAAGGTTAATAAACAGTGAAAATAAGAGGGGAGAAAGTATGCCGCCTTGCGGAACGCCTGCAGTCAAGTCCGACCAGTCAGGAATATCCTGACCTATCCGTACAGCTTGCTGGCGACCGCGAAGATAAGAGGAAAACCAGTCCAGTGCTGAAGAGGAAAAATTTAGCCGTGAAAGTAAACTAAGTAGCAGATCGTGGTCGACACAATTAAATGCGTTGGAGAAGTCAATAAGGACCAATACGGTCAAATGTGACTTGTCCATACCTTCCCTAGAGTCTTCAATTACTTTAAGTAAAGCTGTGGTAGTGCTATGGCCTGGGCGAAAATCAGACTGAAACATGCTTAGGAAGTTGCATTCAGAGATGAAAGAAGTAAGTTGTTTATGTACTATTGACTCGAGAGTTTTGGAAAGGTACGGTAGTATAGAAATAGGTCTGAAATGAGAAGGAAGAGATGGATTTGTTACTTTAGGTAGCGGTACAACAAATGCTTTCCATGATGCTTTGCCATGATTTTGGAAAAACACCAGAAGACAGTGAGAAGTTTATGATGTGGGTGAGAACTGGAGCAATTCGGTCAAGTATAGGAAGTAGCATAGCTCTGCTCACTTCATCATGGCCGGTTGCTGTGGATTTTATGGATATTACAGCTTTTCGGGTATCCTCGTCAGTCACTGGATGAAAGTGAAAAGGTGTACTGGATAACATCGGCATGGAATTGAGTTCCTGTAGAGTAGACGTTTTAATGGAATGACACAAGGGAGAAGCAGAGGTAAAATATTTGTTGAGGTCATTAGCCGAAATACTTAGATTCTGAGAATAGGTATGTGATTTTCCAAATCCCAAGGAGTTAAGGAACTTCCATACGTTTGCCGATGAGGAGTTTAAAATACTATTGTGAAAGTAGCGGCGCTTAGCAGTTCTTACGACCTGATTACGTCGATTTCTAGCACGCTTATAATGTTCAAAATATATACTGTTTCGATTCTTCTTGTAGACAAGAAAAGCCCGGTCCCTTCTTGTCATTGCACTACGCACTTCATCGGTTATCCATGGTGCAGGTGGGCGACGCAATCTCACTGCTCGCACTGGTGCGTGCTTGTCATATAGTCCGACGGATTTGTGTGTTCAGATAAGAAATTTTTGTCGTGATATCATTCATTTCCAGTAGAGGGTCCCAGTCAATGTCTTTGGCATCATCATTCCCAAGTGCAATGAGGTCGAGCTTGTTGAAGTTACGCACATATGCAATAGTTGGTTTGGGCTTGGGAGGCTTCAATCTATAAGATAACAGTAGCAGATCATGTCTAGAAAACGCAGGAGCAGCCAATTGGTCATAATATATAACATGATCTGTCGAACTGGCACATATTATGTCTAACTACGAATCCTCAGCGTCTATATTGAGATGGGTAGCGTTTAATGGCAGAATCGAGAGATCCGCCGAGTTCATGATAGTTTTAAGTCTGCGAACCTGAGGAGAATCCTTTAATAAGTTGGTATTGAAGTCTCCCATGATTATAATGTGGTTGTTGATTGCGCAGACAGAGTCGATAACGGACTCAAGGTGCGAAAAATAATCGGTCGAGGGGGGGCAGTAGACCACTCCGAGCACAACCTTCGCACCCTTAACATCTACCTCTAGGAAAAGTTACTCGGCGGATTCTCTATACTCTAATGGTGACATAGCTATTATATTATAAGTAAAGTCCGCCCGCAAGTATATTGCGACTCCGCCGCCACCTTTGCCAGTGCGATCGCAGCGTATTAGGACGTATCCAGGAAGACTATACAGTGCGGAAGAAAGAGAAGGTTTAAGCCAGGATTCTGAAATAAGTAATGCATGAGTATGATCGGCCGAAAAAGTATCGAGAAGGTCTGAGTAATGTGCAGGGATGCTTTGAGCATTTATATGGCATATGTTTAAAGAATTCGTATAAAAAAGTTTGGCGCGCAAATGATGACCTACAATGCCAACAAAAGAAATGTCTGTGGCTGAAGTAATATCAGGAGAAAAGCTATCGCAAGCTGAGTAAAATGAGTCTTCATCTGATGACATTTATGCAATAATTATGATATATTATGTAATAAATATAGTAATAAGTTATAAATATAAAATAAAGTAATTTGAAATTAGTAAATTATGTAAAAAATAATAAAACAAAATATTCATATGTTTTACCTGCTAAACTGCCTTACAAATTAAAACGATATAAATGTTTAAAAAGAAAAAAAAAAAACAACATAATGACATAATTTAGAGCACCAAATTAGTTATAGGTAATTAGTTATAGGTATTTTGAAAAGTGGAAATTATTCCTAAATAAAAAATGATTATACAAACTGTCACACACGTAATATAGGTTTTTACATGGTTTGAATAACACTAATTCAAAGTAATGCAAATTTTGATGTGAATTGCCACAGTTGGACATTAGATTAATTGGTTATTTTCATTTAAAAATGTAATGATCTTTTATGTACAGATAAATTTAACATTTTGGTTATATAATTATATTTATGATAGTTTGCACTTTCTTATGCAGATGAATCTTCAACGACAATCCTGCCATTGACAGAAGTCCACAGGGAGCTGGCTCAGTACGCATTAGACAATGGTGCTGAGTTTATAACCAGCGAGAAAGCGCTCAAATGTCTGGTGGAGATTGACCGAAACTGGACGATATGCCTCTCCGTCTGTGAAGCGTACACACTAGGTAAATAGCTTTAAAGAATATTTTTTTACTGTATAGGTATTGTATTCATTTTCAATTTGTATCTGCACTTAAGATAGAAACTTAAGCCGGAAGGCGCATGTTTGAAACCTGACAGAAAGGTGAATTTTGAGACAGTTTTAGCTGCACGTTTTTAACTTTTCATTTTAATAGAACCATTTATTTAATTTATATTGATTCAAAGATTGGTAAATGTAAGTTGTATTAATTTTTTTACACTGTCTACTATAATCTGTCAACTACAAAAACTCAGTAAGCCTACATAAGCTCAGTAAACTTTGGACAGTACTCAATATCTCTGACTAACCCTTTATTAGAGTACGAATACAATAGATCTTCTAGGTCACAGTGGTAGTTGGGACTTACTGACCAACCCATTCCACATAAATCGTCAAATCGCCCCTTTTGGGGTCTTACACTTTGATTGAGCTTGTTGATGCTATAAGACCTCCATTCACTTTACCGCAGAGGGAGAAAAGCGTAACGTACTGGTGCTCGGTGGTGAACTGATTGTTCGCAAGGAGTGCGCCCAGGTGAGGACCTACCGGGCCTTCAGGCACCTCCTCCAGTACTCGCTGGTGCCGTAAGTATCGCACGTTAGTTTCAACACATACACACACGTGCATACACACGCAAATCTCTTGATGACTCCGTGGCGTAGTTGCCACAATATTGGCTTCGCCGCCGGGTGGGCTCGATTCCTACAATTTGTGTGACCCACAGATTGTTGTTTTGTTCCACGTGAAATTTATGCATGTAAAACGTTCTCACGACACAGGATAATGTGGGACACAGTGAGGGGGATTTTATTTTCGAAGACAAGATTACAATAGATCAGTGTTTGTTGGCTCTTACTGCCCAACCTCCTCCACACTAAATACAATACAAAGACTAAGATTAAAAGCGCCTTTAGACAAGCATAGTATGGTAGAATGGATGGAACCGATGGGGAAGAAAAGTTCACGAGTGGCAGCCTCATACTGGCCGTCGCAATGTAGTGACAACCTGTGCAAAATGATGACGGCGATTGTACTGTTAGCCCACACAATCTCATACTGCTCATAAACACAAAGGAGATGATGCCACCATAATCCTTTGAGGTTTTTTAAATGACATATAGTGTCATAAGACTGTTCAATTTGTCAAACATTTCAACAATAGGGCTGTGATATTATTTCATATTTCATGTTTCATTAATTTCGTCATTCAATTATCATCCATTTTCAGCGAGGTGGAGAAATCCAAGTTGATGTACAGGAGCAAGGATAGATCGGAAGGCGAGCGAAGGCCGAGCAGAGCCTTGCAACAGCCGAAGGATACAGATGAGTCGAGCGACGACGAGGGATTCAACTTGTTTATAGTATCCGGTAAGTCGACACAAAGCTAATTCACTAGCCTTTGCGATTGAGACAGTTAGGCTAGCTCGTGAGCTAATTCCGAATCACATTCAGCCTTTGGCGCGTTAAAAGCAAACTCGCTCATTTTTGTTTCAAAAGACGGATACAACTTGTGCATAATATCCGGTAAGTCGACGCAAAGCTAATTCAGTAACTAACCCTTGCGGTTGAAACAGTTTAGCTAGCTTGTGAGCTAATTCCGAATCACATTCAGCCTTTGGCGCGTAAAAAGCAAACTCGCTCATTTTTGTTTCAACAGACGGATACAACTTGTGCATACTATCCTGTAAGTCGACGCAAAGCTAATCAGTAACTAACCCTTGCGGTTGAAACAGTTTAGCTAGCTTGTGAGCTAATTCCGAATCACATTCAGCCTTTGGCGCGTAAAAAGCAAACTCGCTCATTTTTGTTTCAACAGACGGATACAACTTGTGCATAGTATCCGGTAAGTCGACGCAAAGCTAATTCAGTAACTAACCTTTGCGGTTGAAACAGTTTGGCTAGCTTGTGAGAGAATCACATTCAGGCTTTAATTCCGTTAACTGATTATTTAAATTCTTGTGTTAAAAAACTTTGATGGCGATACAGACCACTTGAACTCAATGCAGTATAGCATATCAGCCTTTGGCGCGTAAAAAGTAAACTTGCTCATTTTTGTTTCAAAAGACGGATACAACTTGTTCATAGTATCCGGTAAGTCGACGCAAAGCTAATTCAGTAACTAACCTTTGCGGTTGAAACAGTTTGGCTAGCTTGTGAGCTAATTCCGAATCACATTCAGCCTTTGGCGCGTAAAAAGTAAACTTGCTCATTTTTGTTTCAAAAGACGGATACAACTTGTTCATAGTATCCGTTAAGCCGACACAAAGTTAATTCACTAACTTTTGCGGTTGAAACAGTTTGGCTAGCTTGTTTGTGGGGGTTTAGTATGTACAATTGTAAACCTATATGTTAATAAACATTTTTCATTCTCATTTACAATCACATGCGATTTCAGCCTTTGGCATGTAAAAATCAAACTTGCTTGTTTTTGGTTCTAAATTGTTTTAGGTATGTCTTATTCCAAAAATCATTTCAAAAATCAATGCTTTCTTTTTAAAAATGTCATCAGTCTTCAACATCTGTTGCAGACGATGTACACCCGGTGTCTGAAAGACTTAAATTACATTTGAGTTGCCAAAAGGATGGTAAAACACTTTATTTTTAAATCATCTTGTTTTTCAAACTGCCTTGAAATCAAAGTGTTTTCCCCATCCTTTTGGCAACTCAAATGACATTCAATAAGACAATGAGACTGATTATTTAATTTCTATGTTGATCAGTCTTTCAAAACCGGGCGTTAATGTGTTAAAAATATCTTTGATGGCTATACAGACCACTTGAACTCAATGCAGTATAGCTGCTAAGTTTATACTATCAATGTAGATTCATAGTAAAGTATAGTTACAGATTGATAGTTTATGCTTTACATTGAGAATCTAGCATAGACCTAATTTATCAAAATCGTTTAAATTTTTTATATACCTTTTACTTTTTTTTACTATTGCAATTTTGTTCAATCACAATAGAGGAGAGTTTTACAACATCCGTTTGATTATTTACAAGTTAATTGAACAATTGTTTTGTATGCTTTTTTAATGCTACCTCACATGCAGAGACCATAAAGCGTAGAAGTAAGTAGAAGTTATATTCATTGCTTTGATTATGCCTTAAATATATTTTTCTAGTAACAGCACATATATGTATGTGCCAGTGTGCTGGGCAATGGCCTACTCTGTACAGAGGGTTCTAGACTATTCCCTAGCCAATTACGCTCATACATGGTACATGGATTGACACACCTCATATGTCTTTGAAATATTTTATTAAAGTTATTATTATTATGAAAATATGCAGGTTTATTTCATGTGAGAAGGTTGCAAGCGGGCTTGCGGTTCACCAGATGTTAAGTTATAACTGCCACCCATGGACATTTGCAACACATGGAGGGTTACAGATTCGTTGCCACATTTTAATAAATTGTGCCCCGGCTACCACTCTCGCCCGATGAAGAATTATGAAAATCCCAATTCGCCCCGGGCTTATGTGAGGTCATGGTACTAACCCTATCTACCCGGATGGACCTGCCCATTCATGCAACAGCCAAAGCTGTTGCTTGGCCCTACCACCTACCTCACTATGTTACCCTTCCCTTCAAAGCATTAAAACTGCAATTACCAGTTAGCACTGAGATTTGTTGTACATAGGATGCTTGAGTATATTGAATTAAAAGCAAGTCCACACATTTCTGAATTGATGATAATTATGTACATGGTCAGACAAAATGAATGGTGTTTTATATAGACCAAAGTTCTATTTTATTAAAGTGCGGTTAACAAGCTGCCATTGCTTTGTTAAACATATTGTTAAACACCCCTTAACAAAAAAAGTGTAACATATTTAAATTTTCAAAATTTGTTACACCATTCTGTTTGCCAATATTTATGGAAATAGTACACATTTCATTCTTCTTCTCGTACTAACACATGTATCAATATTATTTACTTCTTACGCTGCCATGCGAGCAGAAACACTAAGAAGTAGTAGTAAGTAGTAATATTGAGGTAACTTTGATGACCTTCGACGCTTTTTCGCTTTGAATGCTTTATCATTTACGGGTCATTTTTATAACAGAAACGTCAGAGACAGAAATAGCCCACAAAATATTTTATTCGCTTAATTCTCAAACTTTAAATAGTTTAAAATCAAATCATTTATTATTTGAAATAAGAAATGAACATTTCATCTATCGATAGTAATTTTTTTAAATCTACCACCGCTTCGTAATGAGGTACCACAAACGGAGAAGAAACAGGCGAAAGAAACTCCGTGGGTATCTTCTTTTTTCTCCATTTTCTTCCACAAAACATATTAACATTACCCATTACAATATTAAAAATATTTTTTAGAAATAGTTAGGGACCGATATTCATATTATATCAGATCATGTATATTATAATAACAGTTTTTATAAAGTTTTTCTTTACCAAATCAATTCTTAATCCTGGTTAATACTCAAGGCTTTACGCATTTACTGGGATTTTGTTGTAGAAGCATGTTCACCGTCCCATAAAGGAGTTACTCAATGGAGTTTAGTAAGTGGCGCTACTAACTTGTGTTTGTTCCTAATATTTGTTTTATGTATATCAGTATTATGAAAGTTATCAATGTGTCTATGTATATACATTACGTTTTCATATATATATTGAGAGGGCAATGTTAAATATACAACGTGTCGTTATAACCGCGACAATAAATGAACACACATATAGAGGTTAACTTTTTAAAATTGTATTGAACATTTACATTCTTTAAACATCAATATTTACCGAGTTATTAAATGTTCCAAAACAAACAATTTTAGAACACCCTTACGTATAAAACGGTTACGTAAAGTTCATTTGTAAAGGTCACAAAGCATATGATTGGGTTGAATGAATCTGAAAGAGATAAAACATACTGTTAGAAGGAGAGATTTGTAGTGCGACGCTGCGGCAACAAATGAAAAAGTGTCTGAATTTATGATGAATCACTCAGTTGTAGTTGTATAGGATGTTACAAATTTTATTTCTTTTTTATTTAATCAGTTTAAAAATATATTTTTTTAATTATGAATTTTTTTTAACTTTTTATATTTTTTATGATTATTAGCAAGTAGCGTTAGATGTTTGTTAATTTATTGTCGCGAAAGTAACGACACGTTGTATATTTCTTTAAATTTCTCCATCAGAGTTGCTTTTTAATTTAGATTAAATCTCTCTTCTGGATTAAATATACCTTTATTGCAAATAATTGTGTCTATATTGGCTGCATGTCTCCATAGCAAAATACCGTACATTGTGCTATGGAAATAAATAAAGTAAACAATTCTATCTGTTTTGACATCAGTCAGACATCTTATTTTCCTTATAGCATATGCTGTAGAACTACTAGCAAGGTTGTGGATATATGGGGGACCCATTGAAGCTTTGCGTCAAGGGTTATTCCAAGAAAAATAGTCGTATCCTCAAGGCCTAACTCCTCCCCACTTACAAGTACATTAGTACCACCCAAGTGTTTAACATTGGATGTTGAAAATTTTATGTTTAGTAGCATTACATAGCATTATTTTATTTACAATTTATTTAATGTTGCTTAGCTTTTTAAAAATAAAATGTTATTAATTAATGCTGTATCAATTTTTTTATAACTTAAATATTTCAGATCTAAAGTTATACTTGCTTTATAATAAACGACCTGAATGGCGTAGTGGGTAGTGTACCCGTCTCCCTCGCCAGAGAGTGGGTTCGATCTCCACTACTGGAAAGATATTGTGTGATGAACATAGTGTTTTCTAGTGTCTGGATGTTTATATATGTATCATACGTTTTTATTTACAAAAGAAAAGTATGTTTATTAGTTCTGAAGCTATAAGTTTTTGCTTTTGGAATACTTACAAGCATAAAAACTGTCGAGCATTTTTGTCTGTCATGTATTATTCTATGTCATTATTTAATTCTGTGTAAAATTTGATGTTTGTAGAATATTTAGTTTGAGCTGTGCGTTGTCTCACGGACAATCTGATTTGGATTTTTTATCAAGTATAAGTTATTGGTGTGATATGTTCATCAATAAAGTTTCTTGCTTCCTTTGCGGTGATAATAATTTTTTTTTAATGTGAAATGGTGGATATTAGGTGATAACCACCGCCCGTAGAGTTGCAGATGCGTTGCCACATTTTAATAAAGCGAGCCCCGTCTTCCTCACTCACCAGATCAGACGCAGAAGTATAACATTTTCACTTCAACGCCGGTCTTCTATGAGGTCGTGGTACTTAACCGGACAGACCTGCCCATTCATGCAACAGTAAAGACTATTGCATGTATCTGCAAAAATTAATTATACAATAAAGAAATGAAATAGTTATAATAATAACTTATTGCATTTCTTTAATGTCATAAAAATGAACATGATGATGGTCATATTGTAGACAGTCTTGTATATAGGTGACGCTGGCCAGATATACATAATTTTACAAATTATATTATTACATATATTTAATTTACTTTCGAAAAGTATAGAAACATTCAATATAGTTTGATGAATACATAATAATATTCTAATATGTGTCTATGTTCAAATCAGATTGTGTGTTTGTCCTATTCGATGTTGTTTTATATCACCAGCAGTATTTGTATTCCTTATTAGCCGCTAGCGCAATGTTTTTTTTTTAATTTTCTTTTCTTTTGCCGTCCCACAATATTCACACAGGAGAGGCACAAACAGACAGTAATTCGGACACAGAACACATGCAGCCCGATGAGTTGGATCCTGCCAAGGTGAAGCTGAACACTAAGCCACAAAGGATCAGCAAAGCAAGGGAGAAGCAGAAGAATGAATTCTACAAATGTACATGCGAAGGTGAGCAATAAGATATGCGGACACTTGATTATATCATTCTGAAATAATTATCACTAACTTCCATAAACCTTATGTAATAATATTGTGTCTATGGTTACTAATTGTGTGGCCAATGACCATGACGTTTTGGATTCTATAGATGAAAATCTGTGGGCTTAAATTCTGTCTATCTGTCACACTTCAGTACTGACTATGAATTTCCTTAGGACAAAAAGTGTTTTTATGATTTTTTTGTAAGGAATTTTTATCTAGACCGGAAATCATTTTCATGTTTTTCCAGTGTCTGAGTGTTTAGATATTTGCAATAGGTAAAAAAAAAAAAAAAAAAGTAAAGTATGTTTAAGTACGTTTATCAGGTATCTAGTACCCAAAGTGCAAGCGTTGCTTAGTTTGGGAATGTTGTGAAAAATGTGTTCCAAACAAATTAATTAACAAAATACAAATTTATCTTTGAAGATACTCTATTTGAGCGCCCCCCGCCGAGGTCCTTCCGGAAATGGCGCCTAAGAAACTCGGGAACGCAGGAAAGCTATGACGTCATTGTGCACTGTTCACACAAACTTAAGGTAGGTTTCTTGCCAATGTTTAGATTATTTCTCTAGGAAATGTCTTAAGTATTAACAATTTCCTAGTCTTGTAACTTGATCAGGCCGGTAAAGTTTTCGTAAATACCCTTATAACGGTTTCAGTAATATCTTGATGAGTTTAAAAAAACTTAAATTTAAATTTTTACTGTCTAATCGTTGCTGAAACCTTAGAGGCCTAATGTTTTTAAATGTCGAAAAATGATTCGATGTTTTCCATCACCGCTGAGCATGTGATAAGTCATCGCTTAAAATAACAATTTCTTCGGTGTCGGCACCGAACTCGGGTTGCTCGATTATATTGAATTTTTTGTGAGCCAATAAATATACCTGTAGCATACGCACCGAGCCGAAACGGGGTGGCTTTGATACTACACTGGGACAGACACGGAGTGTCAGACGATTTGCGATGATCGATGTTCAATCCTTGAAATAGGCAGTAACAAATATAAAGCACGCACGTACCTTACACTGCTACCAGCCATCGATGAGCTAACACCTTCGTTTCACAGGCCTCCGATCAGAGTTCAGGTCAGACGCGGATAGATTGAGAGTTCTTCACCACAGCGATAGGATGCGTGGACGCAACGGTTACAGGCTTCGATATTCAAGCACGCGACGTTGTCGGTAGGGAAATGTTGGGGGAATGTGCTTAGTACGGCGCTCTTGACAGCCGGATTGCGACTGCGTTTTGTCACTGCTAATTAAGCACTGAACATCGATATAAAAAATATAAAATGCGTTTAGTTCGCGTACGATCTCGGTACAATACCACTACAACTTGGGGTTCCTGGGTTCGATTGCCCCCACGAGACAAGTATCTGTGTGACCCACATATAATTGTTCCGAATCTGGGTGTTTGTTTCCCAAGGAGGGTTGACGTCAGGCAGGCGGCCGGCCGTAAAAACCATAGCCAAAAACCGCTTGCAACATAATTCACACGTTCTGCCGACCCTACCTAAGTGGGTTAAGGGCAGGAGGATGATGATGATTCTAGATGCACCCGCTATAACTTTCCAGGGTAGCAACGGCGAGGTGGTGCTGGAGCCGATACCGGAATATCAACTGGACCTGGGGGCAAGCCAGGTGTCGAAAGAGAAGATCAAGAGCCTCGCCCTCTCGCTCAACTTGAGGAAGAACGCGTCGGTGATGACTGGTACAGAACCATCACCAGGATTATCCTATTGTGCTAATTACTAAGTTTCTACGTTCATGCTTATCTTCTTTTATGTGAGAAGATGGCAAACGAACTGGCGGTTCACCTGATGTTAAGTGATAATCACCGAATATCAGCGACGACCCGATTGGCGTGGGGAGTAGTGACCCTGCTTCTTGCGCCAGAGGGTGTGGGTTCGATCTCCACTACTGGAAAAGTATTTGTTTTTCCAATGTCTGGGTGTTGATATATGTATAATATGTATTTATTTACAAAAAAAGTACGTTTAAGTGTGTTTATCAGTTTTCTAGTACCCATAGTACAAGCGTTGCTTAGTTTGGGACTAGAGAATATTGTGTAAAAAAATGTTTCCGAAATATTCATTTAATCACCGCCCATTGACATGTGCCACACCCGTAGAGTTCCCGTTGCGTGGCCACCTTACAATAAAGTGGGCCCGTGCTACCTCACTAACCAGACGAAAAGCAGAGGTGTAACACTCCCACTTCACGCCTCTCTTCTGTGAGGTCGTGACCCAATCGTGCAACAGCGAAGACCGTTGCATGGCGCTACCACAGTGGCAAAATATAGCAAACCCTACATGTTGTTTTGATTTGCAGTGAGGGTGGACGGCTCCACCGGCGAAGTGGTGAGGTCAGACAGCATGAACTTCGACCAGCTGGCCTTGGAGCACGGAGACCAGATGCCGGATGTGGCGCACTCCTTGTCTTCCGCCCTGGGCCAGCTCTGCCACTTGCTACCCGGCCATTACCTCTTGAACCACGAGGTATCAAGCTTACCAAGTCCACCTACCCTCTTTTTGGTATTGAGGGGGGGGGATCTTCCAAAGATACCGTGTCATCTTACATGACAGGGTTATGAAGGGTTCTTTCCAACTAACCCCTCGGTGGCCACCTTCTGTACATTCATTCCGACGACTCCGGATCTCCCATGGACCGCACCGGTGTCCCTGCTGCCAATTCGTGTCCCCTTTTAGTCGCCTTTTACGACAGGCAGGGGATACCTTAGCCCTAGTCTATGGGCTCGTGACTACAGGGCTGCCACCTACCCCACCGTTTGTCCATCGCCATAAACTTATTTAGGACCTAATGATCGATATTATTGACCTACTCCGCTTTCGTAGCGTTACCTTCTTCTATTACCACGTGATTACTTGAAGAAATAGGAGAAAAAGATTGGTCTGGAGAAACATATTTGAGAAAGCAAAGTCTAACCCACCGCTGAAGATACTTAGATGTTGATGATGATTGTCTACCGTATATTAAAAGAAAGAATTATTTATTTGTTTTTAAAAAAAACTTAAAATAAAAAAAATTACAATTAAAGTTTAGAGAGAAGATTGCATTGGGTCATATATTATGTGATTCGAAGGTAAAATCCACGTTTGCATAGTCGACGTCACCGACCTTCATTTGAAGGTGAAAAATCGCAAAGTACACAAACACACCTATGATTAGCAAAAAGTGCAAGCTGAAAGTCCGGAGAGGCACTTTGGGAGAGGCTCATACAGCGATGGGATCTTTCAGGTCTCCAATGACTAGTTGGCGAAAGTGAATCAAGTATCACCTTCCGTCAAGGATAGGAGTCAGCTCTACTTTGCCGGCCCCCAGGTCAGCCACGGGCGCAACGCGCTGCTGTTCGCGCCGGGCGCCGGCGGGGCGGGGGCGGGGGCGGGGGCGGGGGCGGGGGCGCTCAGCCTGGACTTCGCGGGGGCGCCCCTCGCGGAACTGGACGAGGCGGCCGGACTGAACACGGCACCGACGCTCACTCCCCTTCTCTTGCCCGCACACAAGTGAGAACACCATAGCCCTACCCCCTGGTCTCACTTGCCCTGGCCTTACTTCCCTCGACCATACTTCCTTCCCCTGGCCTCACTTCCCTCGACCATACTTCCTCTGGACTTCCTTCCCCTAGCCTTACTTTCCCTGGACTTCCTTCCCCTAGCCTTACTTTCCCTGGACTTACTTCCCTCGACCATACTTCCTCTGGACCTTCCCCTGGCCTCACTTCCGTAGGACGTACATCCCCTGATTTTTATTATTTACCTTTTTTGTCACTTTATTAAAATGTTAACGTGACGCGCCCGACCATCCCTGCCTTGATCCGAGCGAAAATTTCCATAAAACTCGAGTCCAGCCACCGTTTACCAGAATATAAATCGACTCCCAAACTACGATCAATAAGTCATTGTAACAATTGTGCTTCTACATTGAATAAATCTATTTATTTTAAACTTGTACATGCGTAGGTTCCGCAAGATCCTGCCGTGCGCCTTCACTCCGCACGAGAACCAGCTGTCCAAAGAGGCGAAGCGGCCGCCGGCGCGCCAGCGCCAACCGCCAACCGCCATCGCGGTTCGTACCACCACCCCTACCACCACCACCACATCCCCACATCACCACCCCCCCACATCACCACCCCCCCACCATCACTACCGCATCGCTCGTCACTGCCCGTTAATTTGTGTCGTGTGAATAATTTCGGTAGACCACCATCAATCCACAACCATCGCTCGTTACGACCCATTGATTTGTGTCGTATGAATACTTTGGTTAGACCCAAAACAGTGTAGGTATGTGTAGTGCTTAAAGAAATGAGTGTGTGCTAAATACCAATGACGATGTTATAATGGAGTTCACCTCCCTTCCAAGGACAGTAAGGACAGCTAATCCCACCGCTCTATGACCTAAATAGAAAGGTGAAGAGTAGAACACTAAGTAAAGCCAAATATCTTCGCACATTTTCCATAGCATATAACTATAAAACAAAGAAGGGCTATCGTGGTCTGCAACTGTAAAATTAGTCAACTTTTAGTTTGACATTTGTCACATTTTTTATTTTTTTTTTAACATTTTCTTTTTCTTGTTTTCAATACGAAGAATATGTTATTGAGTATGTGAATTATATTTTGTAGAATCAGTCTAACAATGTCAGAGATTATTTATATACAAACAAACAGTTTTACCCCATTTTAATGAACGTTAAATGGAAATGATATAAATGTTTGTATTAATTTTTCTTAGTGCAACTGTTTTTACAGGGATTTGATAAATTATCAGTGTATTATAAATTACAATCACATAAAACTATTTGAATTATATCTTAAAGGAAAAATAAAAATAACTCAGACAGTAGCGGGCGATGCGGGTCTTTCACAGGTATTCATTTACTTCCAGGTTATGTTAGCCTATTATAACTCATCCAATAATACAACTCAATATCCTCGGAACATTTAGCAGACTAACTTAAGCTGAAAGGATTTCACCTTCTGATATAAAAGAGACACCAAAACCTCGACATAAGAGAAAACATCAATGGCCAACCTCTTTTACATTTTGGTGTTGTTATGACTGGTAATATCCACACATTGTGTATTCCTTTTTTGATATTTTACTATCAATTTCTGAGATCTATATTACTTTATATATATAGTGAGATATCAGAGCAAAAGTATAGTTTGAATTAATATATAGTGAATATAGATTATCTGTGGTATTTATGGACATAGTCAAAGTAAAAAGTATACATTCTAATTTGTTTTATACTTTAAATCTCTTCATTTTACTTTTAATCGCTTAATATTTTATTTATATATTTACCGATTATGATGTACATTAACATACATGTAATGTATTTAACTTCGACTATGTTCATAAGCATATTGGGCTATAGCGAATTTTTTTTTTTTTTTCTAAATCCATGCTTCACAGGAAATACACTGATTATTGAAGGTTTGAAGGTTTCTGACTAACCATGAGGATATTATTACTTAGATTATTTGGTCAATAAAACGTCATAAACGTGATAGCTCAGTGTCCGGTCACTCGCCTTTCATTCAGTATACTCGAGCAACCTGAGTTCGATCCCCCCGGCACCAATGAAATTGACAGTTTTAAGTCCACCAATCCACAGTGGGGCCGCGTGGTGGACTATGCCCTGATACCCTCTGTATAGAGGAGGCCTTTGCCCAGCAGTGGGACATGTATAGGCTGATACTTTACTTTTTTTTATGACGTGACTACCATTGTTATCACTGTATATTTAGGTATACCACTGTTGGGCATAATATGTATATTTTTTCCTAACCACTGTTGGACATAAATATGTATATTTTTTCCATATGTATATTTTTTCCCAACTAAGTTATAAAAGTCATCAAAAGATGAATTCATATCTCAACCGCAGTGACTAATTTATTCTCACTCGAGCTTGACTCCGAGTCAAGTATCTATATTTTTTTGTTACAAATACATACGTGGGAGACCTATTTTGTGATAAATAATATTTAATCGGAAATATTTAATAAATATACACGTTTGCCAATAATTCAACAAAGGAGTAGGGTAGTAGTTTAAAGGTTTTCGAAACATCCATCTATCAAAATCAGCATTAGTTATGAGATCCTGTTATATTCGTAATAATATCCTTATGTGCAGACCATACTGTCTATGAACTATACAGAACCGAAATCTGGTTCCAAGCGGATGAAGCAATGGGCAAAGCCATCTCTATCAATCCGATGAATATGCCCAAGTCATACAAATCCAATAAAGTAGTCCTATTATTTCCACTAAGTTTCCATTAATCCGTTGAATTAAATGGCATTAAGTCCACCTTTGCACACAAATGTTTGTGCGGAAAGTTTAAATAAATAAATAAAATATATTTAAAACCTTGCAAATTGTATTCTATACGGTACCAAACAGTACTAACTAAAATATTATTCCCTTTTAGATGACAAAAACTTGGTGGAATTAATGGGAGAGAATTCATTTAAATCTAGGGTAGACGGTCCCAGACTGACCGAGATTGTCGCGGCGGGATTACCACCTGTCGCCGATGTGACAAAGTGGCCCCACACGAGTCGAGCAGGCGGACTCTGCGCTATTTATATATAAATATTTACCCTTGTGCTGCAAATGTTTCATGTGCGTGTGTTATTTGGTTGTTGTTAGTTGGACGCGGAGGAAGAGAACGGCGCGAAAGTAAAGGTACCGCCGCACTGGGTCCGATTTCTCGCGCGAATCCTTTTTAGTTCTGTAGAATGCGGACGTCGGAAGCTGCGCTAAGTATAGACCCTTGTTGAGGCTCCATCTTAGATGCCGTTGACTAGTTTGTTTCGCTGTCAATTTGAATTCCCTCACAAATCGCGCCCATAAACTATTGCTCGGCTTGTCTATGGCCGAGACAAGTTCCATAGAGTAAAATGTCTATTGACAGTGAGAGTATTTTAATTGTGGGAAAATGTTTGCAATTTCCTGAAAATCATCGTAAAAGTTGTAGCCTCAACTGACAATTTTTTACCATATTAACCAAAACGCATTCAATGGCTAATTTAAAACAAACTGCTGATGGTATTCTAAACTACTGAACTGACATTGACAATAATCAAAATAAACTACAACAGTTAGAGAATTTTAACAGTTAACTGTTTTCAAGTTATTCAATTAAATAATAATTTATAACGAGATCTCTTTTCAATTTTCAATTTGGAATCTTGAAGCCTACTTATTTATTTCAAAAATTGATTCTCTTGCAATGCAATGATCCGGCTAAACACCGGGCGGAATCTAATACTTGCCTTTGATAAGTATTAGTTGCAAATTACAAGTGTACTTAATGAAGTTAGTTTCCTTGATACATAAAATTTAACATCAGCAGTACACATCAACTTCTGTTATAGATACAGTTATATATACAGAGTAAATTATTTTAGTAGTGTTTCTTAAAATCCTTTAAATGTTCACGAAATATAAAAATATTCTCGAGCATGCAAGTTCCTGTATACTGACAAATATTCAATTAACCTCATCACTTCTTTGTTATGTTATATACCAATTTATCATGTTTATCGTTTAAGTAGTAATAGACAATTCCTGAGGGTTATCTCAAATTCAATTCAATTTGAACAAACAAATTCATAAAATTTCTTAATGGGAATAGCAAGGGAGGGGGATAATAGTGTATTCATTATATTGTTTGTTGAATTACTAGGAATTTGGACATAATAGAATAAAATAAATTGCTTTTGATATGGAAATTTAACAAGTGGTATAAATGGACCGTACTACATACTTACATAATTGCTTGAAGTTTTCAATTTTAAGGAAAAGTTATTTCATAAACTATTATTGTAGAGTGGGGTAGAGGTGGGGGAAATAATGTGATGTATTTATCACAATGTTTTATCACATTATTCTTGTTGCAGTGGCCTAAGAAGAAGCGTGGAAAGAAGGCGACGCGAAAAAACTGAACTTTGTTATCTAATAAATGTGATATACATTATTTCGTACTTTTCTTTTTTTAAGAAATGTGAAATAAATACATTTTATATACCTATTCCTAATAGTGCTTTGCATTCTGCTACCAGTAGTATTGAATTATGTAAGTAGCTTTAAAGAGCTCTAAGTCTACAACTGCAAAAGGCAATGTGATATAAAATGTTAATTGAAAATAATCATTATGAACAAACTATGCAGGTAATATAATTTCATAATATGTATTACTTCTAGTTTAGTAAAGACTAGTGAAAATTTACTAATTTCATAATAAATTCATTCGATTTAATTATAATTTTGTTCTTATAGAATAAGTGATAAATATGCTCGATTAGTAATCTGCGACTGGAATACGTCTACTGGAATAAATATCGTTTTTTCATACACTCAAGCAGCCTCATCGAAGTATCCGTCTAACTGTGACGCGATCTGAAAGACAACATAAAATCTATAAGTTTGTCTCGTACTTTGAAGAGAGAAATGTTCTTATAGACTATAGATACATCACTACAGTCCCTTAATAGTAAGGTGAGCACTAGAGAACTGAAATTGTGAAAATGTAACATTTTTTTTAATTTAAAAATATAAAAAGCATTGCCCTTAATTTAGGATAGCATTATCCTGTGTTGTAAGGACGTTATACAAAACATAAATTTCACGGGGACAAACACCCAGATGCGAAACAAGTATCCGTGGGTCACACGAATAGTTGAACACTTTGTGTCACCTGCAGGGGCGTGTACTTGAGGTACTTCTCTGGGTTCTTGGAGAAGGGCAGAGCGGCGTAGCGCTCGTAGAAGGCGCCGTAGGCGGGCAGCAGCAGCTGCTTGTTGTCCCGCTTCAGCCCCTCGCGCAGCTCCGCGTCGGGCACGCTGTAGCCGCGCTGCGCCCGCCGGCACTCCTCCCACTCGCGGTTGAACGCCTGCGCGCAACGTGCTTCTTTGATACCCCGTGCCTCCGTAAGCCCCGTGCCTCCATTCGCCCCGTGCCTCCATTCGCCCCGTGCCTCCATTCGCCCCGTGCCTCCATTCGCCCCGTGCCTCCATTCGCCCCGTGCCTCCATTCGCCCCGTGCCTCCATTCGCCCCGTGCCTCCATTCGCCCCGTGCCTCCATTCGCCCCGTGCCTCCATTCGCCCCGTGCTTCATTTGCCTCTAGTATTCATTCGCCTCGTGCCTCAATTCGACTCGTACTTCGCCTTACACCTTCATTCGCATCGTGCCCTCACCATTCGCCCTGCTCTCCATTTACTTACTTGCTTGTTTGCCTCACTCTCATCCTCTTACACAATCATTCTACTCAGTTCGTTCCTAAATGCGTCTATGCTCATTCGAATAATTCGCCGCAGTCGGCTCTTTCACTCGTAATTTATTCACTCATTCGCGTCGGTCATGTCATTAACCTTGTTCGCTGATAGATTTGTACAACCACTTCAGTGTATTCTATAAGTTCACTCATTCTATATGACCTTACTGGTCAAATGAGAAAACGATAAAGGCAAGGTTACATTGAACCCATATAAAAAATGCGTGTTAACAAACCAAACTTACTGAGAACTTGTCCTTCAGTATCTGTCTGTCCTTGTCTCGCAGCTTGTTAGGGAGCGGCTCGTCCAACGTTATGTGAGATAGCAGCTTGTTCCAGCTGAAAAATAAATGACTATGTGAAATGGAAAGAAGACCAAAAAACTTATTAAATATATCGCATAATTATATCTTCACGTATTAATTCAACGCAGCATCCAAATTCGATTAAGATTATAATAATTCAAATAGGAAAAGTATTCTATATTATAAATAACTAATCCTGAGTCATAAGCTTAAGAGGTTTTTAGTTGTAATGCATAGCGATGACCTTTGAAGACGAAGAAGGACGAAATAGAATAAGAGGAAAACGAAGCACTGAATGACATGAGGGTGAACTTAAAAGCGATGAATGAATGTATTTATTACCAGAATATGGTTAGTGCAAGTGCCAATTTCATATTAAACTATATGACTATTCTAATAGGCTTAGTCGTAACCAAGTTGAAGGAAGGATAGACAACAGCTGTCTGACCTCTGCAGATAGGAGTTCTTGTACTCCTGGATCATGTCGCGGTAGCTGCCCTCGCATTCGGGCTCGGCCAGAGCCAGCACGTCCAGAAGGCCGCTGCGCTGCAGACCCTGGCGATGGAGAAGCAAGCCCAAGCGTCTATAAAACATTTTGCGTAGACAGAGACGCCTAACTCTGTCCACATCCCACCGAGCACAAACGATCTGAGAGTGTGAATACCTGCAACCAGATTGCGTTGCAGATACGTTGACAGCCTTTAGGAAAATTGACTCTGCATACCTCACTCCCCAGACAAAAGTATGACATTTCCACTTGACGCCGGTCTTCTGAGGCCGTGGTACTTAACCGGACGGACCTGCCCATACGTGCCGCAGTAGGAGCTGATGTGGGGCTTTGTACGTTTGTGTGTCCTTTAGCTCACCTGGAGCAGATACAGCGTGTTGTTCAGAAGGAATATCGCCTTCAGCGCCTCTGGATACTGCTCGCTCTTGGTCCTCAATGCCAGGTTGAGCTGAGCCAGCACTTTGCCTGAAAAACGAAAACTGTTTTGTTATATGTTTACCTGCAATTTAAATATGTACATATATTGTTTACGACTTAAGTATTAAGTTAAACATATTTACATTTCAATGTTCTATATGTATTTAGTTGGTAAGCCTTAATAAATAAATAAATAAATATTTCCTAGTATCTCTCAAATAACTTAGCTGATGCAACGGAATAAAGAATAGCAAGTCCATACGTAGCTTGTTGAAAACACTGATTCGTTATTAGTTTAAGCAAGTACTTTTTTTTAAATCATAGAGAGCTCAAGATTTTGACTAAAACGATATATTGTGACTTTTATTGCAATCAAATTGGGTTAGAAAGATCCATTATGGTCGTGAGGATGAAAAAAGGTCTTTTATAATAGAAGGTGGCAACAAGGGTTTGGTTTTCTTATTATATTGGAAAGTGGAAACGGAGAAAAGGGTCGCTTGATGATAGATGATTCTCTCAACCCATGGTGGTGATACCAGTTACTAAAACGATGGGCCTTCAGCCATACTATTTAGTAGAAATACTTTTACTGCGGTTTTTTTTTTTTGAGGCCCGGGATTCGGTCGATCTGGCCCATACGCCAGTAAAAACTATTACGTTGCACAACCACCGCAAAAGCCATAATCCAAAAATGGACGGATGCGATTAATCTAGTGCGAGAAATCTATACTCGCGAATATACGATACAACCCTATGTCACCACCCCTGCAATGGTGACATAGGGTTGAATTGAGGAAAAGGGCTCGCGGAGACGGGAGTTGAAAGGGGTCGAAGCGGTGCGGGGAATCCCCACTCACGAATAAACGAAGAGGGGTGGTGAAACGGGGCTGAGTTGTTTGTAAGGGGTGGTGGAGAAGGGGTTGAACGGGGACGAAGCGGTGCGGGGAATCCCCACTCACGCATATATATGGCCAGCATGAGGGCGTTGCGGTCTTGCACCGCGGGCAGGGCCGCTGCGGCGCGCGCGTAGGCGGGCTCCGACGCCAGGGCCGGACCTGCAAGGTGACAATTTTATTTTTCTTGTAATCACTCACGGCAACTGACCTGGAGTCAGACACTTGAAGTCGAGTGGAAAGCCTTAACGGACTGTCGCTGGATCGTCGCAACGGACTGTCGCATAGACGGTGGTTGAAAACTATTGAATTTATCGATATTGCTATACTTTTCCTGTATTTTTTGTGAAAAGTTCAACAACCAGATCCGGTACAGGGAATCAAACCGACGATTCGTCAATTTAGTGTTTAAAAAGAATTATCACACAAATGATATATTTCATATTTAAATTAAACAACAAATTTTAATGATCAGACTATAATTAAACAATTGGGGGTAGACACCACGATTCCCGACGTCGAAGCTACCGGGGTATTGAGCCTACAGAGTCGTCACAGTGGGTATACGCACCGACGGTTTGCAGGTGAGCGGCGAGCGCGTGGCAGTGGGCCAGCGCTGCCACCGCCAGCTGGTGAACTGTTCCGTCCACCGCCCCCGGCGCACTGTCCCCGCGCACCCCCTCCACCCACTCCTCCAGCGTCTTCACGCACTGCACGCCAAATACAGTACTCAACATTCACAGAAATCTCAAGTCTTTCACGCACTACACGCCACATCCAGTACTCAAAATTCTCATAAATCTCAAAACTTGCACGCACGACACGTAACATCCCGTGCTCAGCATTCTCATCAACCCTCAAGGCTTTTTCTTCAGCGGCCACACATTACCATGGTAAAGATGTCCCATGAATCTATGAAGTTCCATAAAAGACCATATGATCAGCTAGACCAGAATGGCAGATGGTTTGCGTAAAGTAAAAGTATTAAAATTTTCCCATTCCGATTGGCCAGCCAGAAGATCAACCCGCTCTATTTCAGAATTAGCAACACGGTTGCTACGTCCCTCATGCTGTGCCTGACCTAGTTCGCCTTGGACTTGTTTGCCGATTTTAGTAAACACAAAAGGTCTAACCGAGTCCACTGTGGTAGGGTCACGCAGCAGTTTTCGCTGTAGCACGAATGGGCCGGTCCGTCCGGGGAGGTACCACGACCTCACAGAAGACCGGCGTGAAGTTGAAGAGTTCACTTCCACGTTTCGTCTGAGTGACGTGACTGGGGTCCACTTTATTGAAAGGTGTCAACGCATCTGCGACCGTACGGGTGTTTTGAATGTTCATGCGGTTGTCACTTAATATGTGATACAAAAAAATGTGCATGTTTACTTATACGTAAAGTAACAGCCTATATATGTATCAGTTCTGGACAAAGGCTTCCTCTTCCTACGGAGGGTGTCAGGGCGGCCCCACCGCAGATTGGCGGACTTCATTCTCATCGTTTTGCCCAAACGCGCCAAAAGGATTGCAGCTTCGAAAAAAGAACCGAAGCAGCCGATTGGCGGAGCTCACTCTAATAATACAACCCAAGGCACCTAAAGTTAAAGCCTAAGTTGTAAATTGAAAGAGAGAAGAGAATCGCCGCTCACGTGATGCTGTCAGGAGTACAGGATGCTGCAGCAACGAAATGTAAATTCAAAAAGAGAACACAATCGCCTCACACGTGGTACTGGCACGAGTGCTGGAGTAAAAGAAGTGTAAATTTAAAAAAGAGAAGAGAATCGCCGCTCCCGTGCTGCTATCGGGAGTGCAAGAAAGAAGTGCAAATTCAAAAATAGAACACAATGCCCTTTCACGTGGTGCTGGCACGAGTGCAGGATGCCGGAGTGAAAGAAGTGCAAATTCAAAAATAGAACACAATGCCCTTTCACGTGGTGCTGGCACGAGTGCAGGATGCCGGAGTGAAAGAAGTGCAAATTCAAAAATAGAACAGGACCGAGACTCACGTGGTGCTGGCACGAGTGGAGGATGGCGCAGTAGGGCGCCGGCGGCGCGGGCTGCAGGGCGCGCTGCACGTCCGGCTGCAGCCGCTGCAGCCGCGCCAGCAGCGCCCAGCACGCCGCCGCGCCGCTCGAGCAGCGCGACGCCGCGCGCCGGCTGCGCCCGCACGCGCGCTGCGGGCCGACACGCCGTCCACTACAGACCCTGGCCTCTTCGTTTAGCCGCATAGACCACGCAACGCGCGAGGGGCCCTGGCTTCCTCATTGGTCACGTCCTACCGTTGACTACAGACTGCTCGAAGGGCCCTAGCCTCTTTATTTAGCCGCATAGACCACGCAACGCGCGAGGGGCCCTGGCTTCCTCATTGGTCACGTCCTACCGTTGACTACAGACTGCTCGAAGGGCCCTAGCCTCTTTATTTAGCCGCATAGACCACGCAACGCGCGGGGGGCCCTGGCTTCCTCATTGGTCACGTCCTACCGTTGACTACAGACTGCTCGAAGGGCCCTAGCCTCTTTATTTAGCCGCATAGACCACGCAACGCGCGAGGGGCCCTGGCTTCCTCATTGGTCACGTCCTACCGTTGACTACAGACTGCTCGAAGGGCCCTAGCCTCTTTATTTAGCCGCATAGACCACGCAACGCGCGGGGGGCCCTGGCTTCCTCATTGGTCACGTCCTACCGTTGACTACAGACTGCTCGAAGGGCCCTAGCCTCTTCATTTATTTAGCCGCATAGACCACGCAACGCGCGAGGGGCCCTGGCTTCCTCATTGGTCACGTCCTACCGTTGACTACAGACTGCTCGAAGGGCCCTAGCCTCTTTATTTAGCCGCATAGACCACGCAACGCGCGAGGGGCCCTGGCTTCCTCATTGGTCACGTCCTACCGTTGACTACAGACTGCTCGAAGGGCCCTAGCCTCTTTATTTAGCCGCATAGACCACGCAACGCGCGGGGGGCCCTGGCTTCCTCATTGGTCACGTCCTACCGTTGACTACAGACTGCTCGAAGGGCCCTAGCCTCTTTATTTAGCCGCATACACCACGCACGTGCGAGGGGCACCGTTGACTACAGACTGCTCGAAGGGCCCTAGCCTCTTTATTTGCCGCATAGACCCACGCAACGTGCGAGGGGCCCTGGCTTCCTCATTGGTCACGTCCTACCGTTGACTACAGACTGCTCGAAGGGCCCTAGCCTCTTTATTTAGCCGCATAGACCACGCAACGCGCGGGGGGCCCTGGCTTCCTCATTGGTCACGTCCTACCGTTGACTACAGACTGCTCGAAGGGCCCTAGCCTCTTTATTTAGCCGCATAGACCACGCAACGTGCGAGGGGCCCTGGCTTCCTCATTGGTCACGTCCTACCGTTGACTACAGACTGCTCGAAGGGCCCTAGCCTCTTTATTTAGCCGCATAGACCACGCAACGCGCGAGGGGCCCTGGCTTCCTCATTGGTCACGTCCTACCGTTGACTACAGACTGCTCGAAGGGCCCTAGCCTCTTTATTTAGCCGCATAGACCACGCAACGCGCGAGGGGCCCTGGCTTCCTCATTGGTCACGTCCTACCGTTGACTACAGACTGCTCGAAGGGCCCTAGCCTCTTTATTTAGCCGCATAGACCACGCAACGTGCGAGGGGCCCTGGCTTCGTCATTGGTCACGTCCTACCGTTGACTACAGACTGCTCGAAGGGCCCTAGCCTCTTTATTTAGCCGCATAGACCACGCAACGCGCGAGGGGCCCTGGCTTCGTCATTGGTCACGTCCTACCGTTGACTACAGACTGCTCGAAGGGCCCTAGCCTCTTTATTTAGCCGCATAGACCACGCAACGCGCGAGGGGCCCTGGCTTCGTCATTGGTCACGTCCTACCGTTGACTACAGACTGCTCGAAGGGCCCTAGCCTCTTTATTTAGCCAAAGAGACCACGCAACGCGCGACGGGCCCTAGTTTCGTCATTGATCACATTCTGACATGAAAACAAAGTGATCAAAAGGGCCTCGATCTAGTCAATTTAGTCGCATACGACCACGCAATACGAAAAGGTGTCTCTAGATCCATTGTTGAGTCACACCACCATTGACTACACAATGCAAACACAAAAATAAGTAAAAAGTAAGTAACAGCTTATACACATCCCACGGCTGAGCAAAGGCCTGCTAAGAGGATATCAGGGCATAGTCCACCACGCGGCCCCTCTGCGGATTGGTGGACTTCAAATATTGTCTTCGAAGTATTTCCTTTTTGTTATTATTTCTAAAATATACATATTTTCGATCACCGTTGAGCACGTGATAAGACTTCATTAATCTTCGAAATATTTTTTTCGTTATTATTAATTTATTCTTAAGGAAAACATCGTTCGTCCAGGATCCGGGAGGCCAGCGTACATCCGAGGCTTTCCCACTAAAACATGACTCGCGCGATCAGGTAGGGCGTCACCTCCACGTCGGCGGCGAGCGCGGCGAAGCAGTCGCGCAGCGTGGCGGCCAGCAGCGCGGGCAGCCGCGGCAGCGGCACCAGCCCGAGCGCGGCGCGCTGCTCGTGCCTGGCCAGCCGGCACACGGCCGCCGCCAAAGTGCCCGCCAGCTCCGCCTCCTGCTCGTCCAGCGCCTCGCTAGACTCCTCGCCGTCTGCGCAACCGCTCGGCTACGTCCAACGGGCGCCCGAAGTGGGGGGCAATCGACACCTCGAGTGCCCGAAGTGGGGGGCAATCGACACATCGAGTGCCCGAAGTGGGGAGCCCCAAGTGGAGGCAATCGACACCTCGAGTGCCCGAAGTGGGGCGCCCCCGACAAGTGCTGTTCCATAGACTCCTCCCCGTCTTCGCCGATAGCAAAGATCGTAGTGCTAATCTCCGCACTTAAGATGAAACGTTAAAATTTGCAGAAAAAATGGACCAGTGTCCTCCGGATCTGGGCGCGAATCCGGAAGAACCCCAATGTCCAACTTCCGATCAAATGAGTGCTCAAAATGGAGGCCTTCTAACAACCTCAGACAGGCTCGTCAGGGGACGAATTGAGGCGGCGCAGAAGACCAGGATGCGATGGAAATATCGCGTATCATCTGGTAATAGTAACCCCGTCCGATGACTCCGTGGCACTCCAACACACTTGGGTGGTCACCCAAAGATATTGGGTGACCACTTCAATCTCCTATCGTCTCCGGATGGAGAAGTGTACCAAGCGATACTCTTGTTATCTGAAACGACACTCAATCACTCACAGGCCTCGTTGAGGGAGCGTCGAGGGCCGATCGCGAGGCCCGTGGACTGTTCCAGGGTCTGCGAGGCCTTCAGCATCAGCTTGTTGGCGCGCTTCTCCAGCCTGCGATCGAAACGAAGGCCGCTATATTACCCGGTCCGACTCCGTGGTCGAGTTCAACAACAATTATTTTTTTTATGTGAGAAGGTGGCAAACGAGCTAGCTGTTCACCTGATGTTAAATGATAACTGCCAACCATTGACATTTGCAACACCCGTATTGGGCCCTAGCAACCTCATTCACCAGACGAAAAGCAATAATAAAACACTTCCACTTTACTCCTTGGCGCTTGGCTTCGTCATGGGTTCGATCCCCACACATCGGATCTGGGTGTTGGTCCGTGTGAATTTATGTTTGTACAACACAAGATAACATTACCCTGCAGCAAGGCCAATGTTTTTTTAACAAGTCCATATTTTACTAACTCCGGAGCCCAAGATCCAATACCAATGAAATTAATATGGGACCACGTGGCAAGCACTAGCTTTCAAATAAAATAAATAAAAAAATCATCAAAATCCGTTCCCTCAGTCTAAAGTTCTGAGGTAACAAACAAGAAAAAAAAAACAGTCGAATTGAGAACCTTCTCCTTTCTAGAAGTCAGTTGAAAACCCAACCTGGCCCCCGGCCTGGCAAAAACTACGGCGGCCTGGCACCATCCAGTACCGAACCGTTTTTACTTTTGTGTTACGCCAAGTGAGGGAGTGACTGGAGGCGAGCTCAGTTCTTGGTGAGAATTTTGGCCTCTTTTTTTTTGTTTCCGTTATAATATAAATATTACAGGAATGTAACCAGAATAGATCTAATATTTCGTGATCAGCTTCTAGAATACTCACACTTTCTGTAGTTTACTTGTCTTCTTTGTGCTATCCGAACGGTGCAGCAAATTCTTGGACTTCTGCAAAATTGAGTATGAGGATATAAAAGTTATTAAATAAGTAAGAAGATTTATTTGTCAATTCACTGGTAGAGAACACTTCCGGGTAAGTCCGCCGATGTAGGCTAATGTGTAAAAAAAATTTATATGAATAAAATAATATTTTCTGCGCACCTTTGCAGTAATCAAATGAACATTGTGCTGTATTAGCTGAATGAATTACACAACTTAAAAACAATATCAACAGAAACGCTATTTGTCTTGTTTTCTCGAAGCAGAAAGGAATGTATCCCCCTCTTTATCCCCCCTCTCCCCCACTCCCTCCTCACTCTCACTGTACGGGGGCAAGTCGAGGATGGGGCTCACCATGAGCGGAGAGGCGGCCATCGAGCGCGACCTCAGGTAGTCCTTGAAGGCGACGAGCGAGCTCTTGGCCGCCGGCGCCCGGATGGCCAGGAGGGGCCCGGCCGGGGGCCGACCTGCCGCGCTCAGCCATGCCGCCGCCGCCCTCATGGTCTCCAACGCCGCGCCAGAGGTGGAGCCGCTGCCGCTCACACTCACGCTGTCCACGCTCGAGTCTGAGGAACCGCCAATTCAAGTAAGCTCGACGTCACAATTGGCGAAATGGGTAGTGAAAAGAAAAATTATGTATTTGCGCTAAATAAGCTTTATCAATGACAACGACCAAAGTATTTTACCTTCCTCCAAAGCTATCATATCCATTAGTGTAGTAGGAGACAGAGGTCTTGTGTTGCGACTCAGCAGCTCCTCAAATGCGCTCTCCAGTTTTAAAACACCAGCATTGTACAACTGATTCTGAAAACGAACCAAACATGAATAAACTTATACCTGGTTCATATTTCTTTGAAGCAGCAAGACCCAACTAATAATATAATTTACTCACAATATTCTCCAATTCAACACTTTGGGGATTGTGCTTATTGAAATAATTCTGCGCTTCAGCTAATTTATCTAATGCCTGTATATGAAAAAAAAAGATAAATAGTCAAGTGATAATGTGACAGAAATCAAATGATGGCTACAATACCACTTTCTCCAATCTTTTACATTATATATTATATAATAAAATACCTGACAAAGATAAATGAAAAATAGTACCTCTAAGTATACATTCAATGACTCAGTAGTTGATGTGTGGGGGCCAGCTTGAATTAGATCGGCTAATTCCCGTGACACCATGTAGTAGTTAATGACATGATCCAATGACTTCACTGTGCGCTCCATGTCTGATGAGCAAACATTTACCATTAAAAATGCTCATTCATTGATAAAACGAACAATACATAAAACCAAATAATTATATAGCTTCCAATACCATGCTCAGCTTGCTAAACAAAACACAAACATATTAATAATTGTACTTGTCACAGTTTTGTGAAGCTGAGGTGCTTTCACAGTAGAGCCACATGATTTGACTACCCTAACTTTTACACTTTACTTTTTTCTGTTATAGAACCACAAAGAAATTTCAAAATGTAAAAATCTGGTTAAAACAATCCCCCATGTCATGACAAACATAATGCTATCCACGCTTCTCTGAGCTTCATTTAATTGCAAATAATATTGCAAAGTAGTAAGCCCGTTTGTAAGACGTGAAAAAAAATTAAATATTTAGTGTACCAGATATAGAGTTCTAATAAGATTCCATTTATTATTCCAATAATAAATTGTTATATTTATAATACATTTATTTTTATAAAAATATGAAATCTTTTTGTTAATTATGTCATTCATAGCATATTCTTATTTTAATATAAGAATAATGGTACAAATTTAAGTTATCAGTAGTGTGATTCAAAAATCCAAATATTCATGCAATTATTTATATCAAAATAAACTTTTAAAACTAAAAGTAACAATTATCAGAACTTACTCTGATGAATGTGTTGTAAACGAGCAGTATCCCCATACAATGGAAGAACAGCGGTCTCCAATTGTTGCAACCTTTGCTCACATGCACCAAGCACATTACATACATCATTAGCTAACGAAGAGCTGCGATTAGCAGCCGCTTTCAATTCTTGAATATTGGTCATTTCCTACAAAATTCAAATCATTACTGTAAACGCCCACTAATGCTAACAAAAGTTTATTGATAGAAATATAAAAAAATTATATAAAATGTCAACTGTGAGTGTGAAAACAAATGCTTCGTTTTTATAAAATTATTTTATTTATATGGGCTTTAATAATAAAAACAGTTACAAATAGCAATAAACCTTTTTCAATTTCATTTCGATTTCGAATTTTTTTTCAACGGCGTACATGATAAATGTGAAGTATTCAGGCTTGGTGCTACTAATATAAAATAAAATCACGACTGGATGACCTAACAACAATGCTTTTATGTAAGACAATTACAAAAGAAACATCCCTCAAAAGAAATGATAAATAAATAACAAAAAATATTTTTGTCAATTTGATACAAGGAAACGACGATTAAGTAATGACGTTTAGTCACAGTGTTACCAACTGTTCAAAAATAATACTCCAAAATTAATTTGGAAACCAACTAAAATTGAATAAATTGAATCAGAAACTTCCTAAATTTAAAATCACGATTTTTTATATTTTCAAGGTATATTCAATATTCCTAATAAGCCGTGATAGCTCAGTGTCCGGGCGCTCGCCTTTTATTCAATATACTCGAGCAACCTGAGTTTGATCCCCGGTGCCGGCACCAATGAAGTTTTTAACTTTAAGTGCTGACTTATCACGTGCTCCGCAGTGAAGGAAAACATCGTGAGGAAATCTGCATATTTTTGAAATAATAACAAAAAAAATATATTTTCGAAAATATGTGAAGTCCACCAATCCGCAGTGGGGCCGCGTGGTGGACTATGCCCTGATACCCTCTGTATAGAGGAGGCCTTTGCCCAGTAGTGGGACATGTATAGGTTTTTACTTAACTTTTATCTTATTCAATATTAATATTTAAGGGAGGAATAATTAAAAATATATAGCATACAAGACACATAGGCCTTGGCCTGACGTCCACCAAAGCATAGCACAATTAAGTTATATTTTTGTCTAAAATAAGAAGTTTTGCGTAGTTTTTCTTTCAAAAATGTAAATATATTTTATTCCTAAAACTATGCCTTAAATAATTGACCTCCTAAAAAAAATACAATGGTCATTTTTTCTTCCAAAATTTAGGAATAAAATTCCTAAGTTGACATCCCTGTTTTTTATCGTTTACGCGTTGACGGCTCGGCAACGGCAAGTAACGTTTATCCCGAACAATTTTTAATTTTTCGTTGCCAAAATTCAGGTTAACTTTTATAAACTTCTATTACAAAATTAGACATGGCCCTATGGTAGCAAAGTGTATAAAGATAACGAAAAAGCCAAATGCTTACTGACAAATTATTCAGCAAGTTCATTCTGTCTGAGAGCAAGACATAATGTCTTGATGTACCTAACTCTAGATATAAAACTTACCTTCTCTACGAGTGATTAAAAATTGATTCCTCCATCACACAACCGACACGGCGCCCAGTGGTAAATTCGAAACGTCTAAATCGCATTGCGATAAAATAATGATATCTCTGTCCACCATCTTTAAGTAAGCGTCGATAAGATACTTCAAAAGAGTCAGGCCTGGATAAATCCAATGTTAAATTTTTCAGTATCTAACCTGCTCCCCGGTCCGTAGACCATGTATTAAAATCTATGCTGATCTATTTACATTTTAAATAATCCAGATGATATGATAACGGTGGTAGGGCCACGCAGCAGCCTCGGTTGTTGCACGAATCGGTAGGCCCGTCCGGGTAAATACCACGACCTCACAGAAGGCCAGCGTAAAGTGGAAGTATGACAAATACTTTCGCGTTTCGTCTGGTGAGTGAGGTAGCCGGAGCTCAATTTTCAAAAGGTTGTCAACGCACCTGTGACCCTCGGGTGTAGCAGATGTCCATGGGCGTTGGTATTCACTCACCATCAGGTGAACAGTCTGCTCGTTTGGCAACTATTCACACATATTACCACCACCCTTAGCAAGGAACACGTACCACACCATAAAAAACACGCATGGTCCAGCACGTCCACTGGTGACGAGGTCTCACGCAGCATAATATTTTCATAAATCTTGTGTTTGCAATAAATAGTTTAATTCTAGCAAATTAATTGCTTACGTGATTTAATTTTTTGAATTGTTGATTAAATCACAAATTCGCAAATTCATCATCTCTAGTTCGAACCTCCATAATGGGGGATCCCTTTGATGGTATTGAAATTTCATCTTCCCTGTGTTAGTCTATATTATATCTCTCATCTTCAGGCGTCACGGAGTCCTCATCATCGTGCATCAGCTAATATGTTTCTTTCTTAAAAGTGTTTCGACTCCGTTTTGTCACCTTTGTCGAAGTTATCGAGCAGCGTACACCTCACAAAAATATAAATTAATGTTTGAAAGCTTTAATCGAAATTCTTATTTCACAATTTTTACTAAAGGAAGATAACCAGCACTCAGCGGATATTAATGTTGCACTACTTACATACAGTTGGAAATTATTTTAAAGATGTAAGATTCAAATAAACATAAAAAATGTACTATGGGACTTTTCAGTGTGTATCCCAGATATACAAAATATTTAGATATACAAAAGTACTCTTTGGTGTATCCGATCGACAAAGAAAGTTTGGTGACGTGCCGTTTGTTCTCGAAACGTGGCTGACGTTTGTTCATTGGATTGTCTTGTCATTATTGTATTTTCCAACAAGACCGTCTCGTATACACTGAAGCAAAACCTATTCCAAGGTTCGTAACATAAAAGTGCTATTATTTATACTTACAATTATTTTAAAGTCTTTTGTAAGTCTCTTTGAAACTTTTGGACCCAAAATTATAAATTTGTGTTACAGAACATGGACCAAATCGTGAAGTTTGTTGAGCCAGGCAAGCAATTTGCAAAGGACTCTATTAGATTAGTTAGACGATGCACGAAACCAGATAGAAAAGGTAAGTTTTCATAAGATAAATAAATTAAACGATACTAACCTTAGTTTCGTTATAATACGTGCAAAATTGCCTTTTTGCACGTATAAAGAAATTAAGGTTTTATTTTACTTTTACTTAACAAATAGCTCTGATCTCTGAACTGAGGTAACAATAAAGACATAGGTTTTATTTCAGAATTTTTAATGTATAATGTGTTATAGATTTTGTCTGTTGATAGTGTTAGTGACACTTCAATTCTATGGTTAGTTAATCTAGTTTTTTGAGCTTAAAACCAGCCTTTAGTGAATAAATAAATTTTGTAAATCGTCTTTGAACAGAATTTTACTTGTCTAACTTAGTGATTTGGGTAATTATTTTCAAACCATCAATATATTTTACCAATTATTTTAATCTATAAATACAAAGTGAAAATCAAATTGCCATGAGTTTTATAGATGTAAAAAGAGAATGAGAGTAAAAGTAGTATTATTAGTAATATTTTAAAATTGCTTTATTATATTATTAAAAATTTTGAATATTATTAATAATCAAAATATGTATGTAAAATTACAATTAACAATATCCTAAATTATGAAATATAAACTTATATACTTATTTAACATATGATGAGTTATATCATATGACCAGTAGACTGTATATAACTAAAATAAACTGTGTTAATATCATGTTAAATGGTGGTCAAGCCCTATTCAGCCCAAAACTATGAAATAAATTGTAATTGTTTGCGATTGGCCCTCCCAGATTTCAGCTAGATTTTTATTTATATTCAAGTTTTAAAAATATGTAATGCTTTTAAAAAGCTGATATTTTTGTAGAAATTGTAAGAAAGTATTATGTTTTTTATCCAGACCTGAGTATATAAGCAAGAATAGACATCAGTACTGTTAACAGTGTAAACAGTGACACCATAAACATCTCATTTGTTCTCAAAATGTTGGCACATGTAAATGACAAACTGTTTTTTTTAAATTTCAGAATTCCAAAAGATTGCGATTGCAACAGCCATTGGATTCTGCATCATGGGCTTCATCGGTTTCTTCGTCAAGTTGATTCACATTCCCATCAATAACATTATTGTGGGATCATAGAGTTTTAGCTAAATAGTTGAATTAGATATAATTATTATTCTTAAGTCCCAAAACCCAATAAGTTAAATTCTCACTGTCATATCATATTCTCTTCCTTATGCAGTATGTCTTAAATGAATAAATTATTTTTTTATATTCACTTTTGTTTCACCCTTGAGCCTTTTATTATTTTTTGATTCTTTTTTGACCCCCAATCCTTTTTATTTTCCTTATTATTATACTTTAACAGTTTATAAATAATTGTCCTAAATAAAAAGCTATGCTTTTGAATGTGTAAAATTTTATTGTCTCTCTCACTCTAATGTTACAATGATATTAAAAAGTAATTAATAAAACTTAAAGTAGCAAATTAGTATTTGACTTTTATATATAACATATTCTTTACTACTTTTGCTTCAGCATATTGAGGGTAGGAAAAAATCTAACAGACAAATCATGCCAATTTTTAGAATTACAATAATTTGTAAAATGTACAGTTTATGTTATTTACATCAGCTCATGTCAATGATAATCTACTTTATGATTTTAAAAAGAAGGGACCACAAAACCAAAAATGATGGACAAAAGTGAGCAGTGTTTATCACAGTTACATTTTTTAAAAGCCATTTTTTTTGGAAGTTTTTATAAAAAGTGGCCAATTTTTTTTAATACAATTGAATTGCACCGTAAACATTGGCATTATGATGGTTTGCAAGTGAACCGTTAATATTTATTAAGTTTAAAACCATGAGTTATTAATCTGCTTTCAATCGAAATATATATTTTTGTATGTTAGAATATGTAGTAGCAATACCGATTTTGTTATATTATATATTTGGCATTTTGTAAAATACTGAAAGCAAATTTATTAATTACCTATTACATGCTAGACTTTACTTTTTTTTTTACTTTTATTACATGCTGCTAGTGTCTTTGATTTCAATACTTAATACAGAGTAAATATTCTCCTAGTCAGCAATTTTGTTATAGCTCATTTCTGAGCGGCAGATACTGAATAGAAAACTTTTCAATATTTTGCTAAATATGCTCTATTATTCGAGATGTCAGATAAAATATTTTCAATTGTAATTATTAACATACAATTTGTTTATTTTATTTCAATATTAATCGGCTTAAATAGATTTATCTACAAAATTATTCAAGAACGTCAGTCGAGTGGCTTCTCCATTACGTGGATGTAGTAGGCTGGCTCCTTGACCTGGTCTAGATCCTTGAAATCGGCGTAGATGCTGTGCTTGGCCTTATTGCCGAACGCCTCGTCTAGCATCGCAGTGAATTTGTCCAATTTGTGCGGGTAGTAGCAGAGACGGAATTCGCTGCGAAATCAAAATATAATTATTAAATCATTAATAATTACAGACACAAAGCCATAGAACATGTTACGGTGTAGGTATTAATTGAGGCAAAACTTTTTAGTCATAATTTATTTGTCGCCATAATTTCAGCCTTTTAGTCTGAATAATGCCTCACCGCAGACTGGTACGAAGCGCGATTCTGAGCCTGCATCCATCGAATTCTCGCACATTTGCACAGGTCGTCACTGTGTCTAGTAGGGGGTTGCCATACACTGCGATGACCTATATGCGGCCGACTCGAGAATCTTTCTTCCCTATCAGTCATCTGTTGTTCGAGCTATCGAGATGGCTGGCCCATAATCACACATAACCTAAATTTTTTAATTCCTATAATATGCGACAAATACATAAATATTTCAGGACACATTTTTACACAACGTTTTCTAGTTCCAGGTACTAGATAACTGATAAGTATACTTAAATATACTTTTCTTTTGTATATAAATACATATTGTAAATATATAAATTCGCAGACACTAGAAAAATACTATGTTCATCACACAATACTTTTTCTGTACTGGTGATCGAAACCACACCGTCTGGCGCAAGAGGCAGGGTCAAGGGTTGAGTTTTTTAAACGATATTTATGGGAGATATAATTTATTAATGCTTTTGTGATGTGAATGATCCACTATCGTCAACTTTATCACCTCGATAGAAGCGAAGTTAAAGGATTGGCGCGTTAATAATCCCACTTATACCTGATTCTAAGATTGAAAAGGCTGCTAAGATGAGAAAGCGGCGTTAAGTTATTGGAGTGGCATTGTAATTGGTGAGATAGATGATAATGAACTCAACTTAATTTTTAACGTTTTTTTTACTTTCCTTCGTAGAAGCGGCACAGCTAGAAGAATAGAAATAACCCGTGGATGTCTAATTTTTTGTACCTCCTTTCACTAATTTCACCATTGGCAGTGGCGTCTATGCAGTAGTCCAGAGCGACCAGTTCCGGTTTGCCTCGCACCACAAGCACCGATGTCTTGATATCGACTGGGTATTTACTCTGGAATCGAATGCACAACGACTGTAGAAATGTAAAACTCTTTTTTGTAGAGTAGGCGACAATGAAAACTTAATCATCAGTGATTGCCGTAAGTGAACATTCATACAAAATACTCGCCAATCAAGACCCGTGAGGTTGGGTTGTTTGTTGAGTGGCGAAACGCCCAGTCAATTTCAAGTTATTGGATAATAATTCGGCCGATAAAATACTCTGACGATTACTTAAAAATTATATTTACTCTAAATGATACACGATTCAATTTACCACAGGTGAGCGACACTAGCGCCCGGTTCCTGAAACACTGATTATCGTAGAGGTCAACTAATCAGCTGTCAAAAGGATTTTCAAATGTTATTTGAGTTGCTAAAAGGTCTGTTAAACTCTCAAAGAGTTTAATATGACAGCTGATTAGTTGACTTCTACGGTGATCGGTGTTTCAGAAACCGGGCGTAAGTTATTCGTATTTTAACTGTTCCTTTTTTTAACTTATATTTAAAAAAATATCTGGCTTATCGTGTTCAACGAACTGATGACCTACAAACTACAATCGTGTGGTACATAAATGAGAGAGATACAAATCAAAGAGAATTAACATAGAGGCCAAAATTATAATTAATTCATTGTTTTCGCAAATGTGGTAATTTATCGAAATATGTTCAAGTTGATAAAAACAGTTATTGTCTAAACTTTGTGCTTGGTTAACAATCTAAATATATAACTTTACAATTATAATATTACATATTCGACCGTTGACAATCTGTGCCCAGTTCATGTGTAGCCACAATTTTACTCAAATTCAAAGTGTATATAATATGTACCGTAGTATAAACCTCCCGTCTTTCATATTCTTTTCTATGATATCAATAGGTAACAAGAATGCGAGCTGCTATAAGTACTTCCTTGTGAGCGAAACGATTTAATAAATGATTGTCATAAATACATAAATGACGTGTTTCAAGCTGGTTATCACGCACATTGTAGTAAATGGAGTGTCCAGGGGTGGCTCCGCTGTCTATCATCGCGTCATAGTTCCTATGGTCTATGAACAGCAGACCGCCGGGCTTCAGGACCTTGGCGAAGTTCTCCAGGCACATCCTCTGCGTCCTCTGGTCCTCGTACTCGTCCAGGAGATGGGCGAAGGAGTTGCCCAAGCATATCACGGCGTCAAACTTAGCGCCGGGCAGAAAGGAATTTATGTCGCGCGGCAGCGTCTCCCAGCTAGCCTCTTCAATAACTGTAATAAAGTGTTATATATACAGCGTGTCGTTACCATCGCGACAATAAATGAACACACGTCTAAAGCTACTTGCCAATAATCATAAACAAAATCCATAATTAAAAAAAAATATTTTTCAAACAAACTAATTAAATAAAAAAGAAACAAATTTTGTAACATCCTATACAACTCGCGCCACAGCGTCACATTACCAGCCTCTCCTTCTAACAGTATGTTTTGTTTCTTTTAAATTCATTCAACCCATTCATATGCTTTGTGACCTTTACAAATGAACTTTACGTAACAGTTTTATACGTAAGGGTGTTCTAAAATTGTTTGTTTTGGAAAATTTAATAACTCTGTAAATATTGATGTTTAAAGAATGTAAATGTTTAATACAATTTTAAAAAGTTATCCTCTATATGTGTGTTTATTTATTGTCGCGGTGGTAACGACACGCTGTATATATAAATATATGAGGTATATTATAATATATTATAATATTCTATTCGTACCTAGAATCACACAGAATGTAAAAGACAAAGATGATGTAAAAAATTCGATTGAATGCCTGGATGTATTGTCCGGCCGAAAAATTACCAAATCGCCACTTCAATCACGCAATGATTGAAACGCGTTCTTGGAAAAAATTACGTTTCATACCAGTGTCATATGCGTGCAGATTCAATATGTGTATGTATGAATCGTGATGAAACACGAGCTTTGATAGTGTAGAGCCTAATAAAATGTTTTTAAGGCCTATAAAAATCGAGTGTCCCGCTGACGAGTAATACGACAAAGAAGTGCAACACCTGTGGTGGGGCCACGCAAAAGCGTAGACTGTTGCACGAACGGTCAGGTCCGTCCGGGTAAGTACCGCGACCTCACAGAAGACCGGCGTGAAATAGAAGTGTCATACTTCAGCGTTTCGTCTGGTGAGTGTGCTAGCCGGGGCCCACTTTACTAAAAGGTGGCAACGCATCTGCAAAACTACGGGTGTTAGAAATGTCCATGGGCGGCGGTTATCCCTTAACATCAGGTGAACCGCTTGGTCGTTTGCCACCTCCACAAAATTATTAAAAAAAGCATACCCCATTCGTCGTACCGCGGGTCTTTTCTCTTCTCCCATCGAGCTTTTAACGCGTGCTTCAGCATTTTGTCGGAGGCGTCAACCGATACCACTTTAAATCCCTCGTCGACCAACATCATCGAGTCTATGCTGGAAATTAACAATAAACATATCAACGCAAATCAAGAATCTCAACTAATACAACACAAAGTGTGTGTGTAGTATTCAAAGATAACCACAAAAAGCTGTCGCTAGGCAAAAATGTCATAAGCTTTCACGTCTCTGTAACTCTTATGGCATTGAAAGAGACATCTTATGATAACGTTTTCTCGTGTTATTAAATTCTAAACGTGATACGTGATAACACCGGACACAGATTATTATATAACGAAGAGCATTGTATGTCTGACTCTGTTTTTCAGTTAGTATATACATAACTCACAGCTCCATTCAAGATGTGCATTGTGCACAGATATATTTTGGTTTTTGGTTCTTTTATTAGTAGTAAAGGAAAATGCCAGAAAATCTATAGAGCTTTGCCCAACATATTAAAATTCGTTTGCAAGCATGCCAAATGTAGCATTTTACTGCTATTTTATAATATTAGGTATTGCAAACCGTTGATGATTATTGTTAAATCATAACACGCTCTGGTAATGAATTGATCGCTCCAGGCTCTTTCAATCGGAATTTTTATACTGTATTTAATATATTCATGTCACACAACGTATGTCCAAAAATAAAAAAAAGGAGCCCGCTGAATTTCTTTCGCCGGTTCTTCTCAGTTCAGTGGCTTTTGGTGCTTTCTTTTTCGAACCGGTGGTAGTTTTGACTATCAATAAGTGAGTGTAATGCTCCTGTGTTGAATAAAGAAATTTCAATTTGAATTTCAACAGGGACAGAGTTTGGAAAAAGAAAATACATTATGACATTCAAAATATGAAACAAGCCTAAATTGATAATAAAAATCTGATCTTTGATTAATGCTTTTCGTACCATTTTATATAAAAGCTTACAAGAAATTATGTTGTCATGCGACTGTATGACAGCGATAAAGACTGTTCACAATTGTGATAAGATCGCCGTTTATTGCATAGGGTCACCTTTATCTCGTGTTTTTCGTTATTTAAACGTAATTACACAGTTTTATGTAAACATTATCGTCCAAAGATAAGAAACTAAGAGGATGTTGATTAAGACACAGCGATAGTTACTCCTATGTATCAAGTTATTTCACCAAAAACAATCTTTAGAAATCATGAACATGAAATTAACCTAGGTCCCGTATTAGTTTCTATTAATCAGGTTGAGTATGTAATTTTAGAACTTTTTAGAAAACAATAATTATTATGTGTAAAAATCGTCACGGAAGTGAACACTGTTACTACACATTTATGAAATTATTCTTATACAGTTTTGTTTCCATTTTAAGTTTAAAGGAAACGCGATAGCTCCGTAACAAATAAAGAAATAAATTAATACAATAAACAATAAACACTTCGCAAATAAATTAATATAAAGTTCCGGCCATATGTTTAGTACTAAATTATAAAAAGAATAAGTAAAATTGTTCGCGGACTAACAAATTAAATGAGGTTATATAATACGAAGGTATAAAATAATTGATGTCGAGATGGCTGGGACTGGAATTGCGAATGGGGATTCGGGTAAGTAGACACCAAAAAACTCGTTCAATCAAGGATGACGAAAATTTTTGTTTTAAACCAGTTTTAAAATGCTATGGAACGACCCAGGGACGGAAGTTTTATTGAATAACTTGGGTTTTAGCATAATTTTGCTTTCTTACCACCTTTAATAGTTTTAACACCATAACAATTATTTAAGATTCCGACTACAAGTCAGGTTATATTTAAGTTAAAAGTCCTACAACAATAGAAATTAAAAAAAATACTAGCAATTGATTTTTTAGGCCATTATGTTCCAAAGTTTTAAAAAAATTGTTAAAATTTCAATACGGGACACATAACTGATTAGTTTGAAAATACTTTGATTTAAATTAAGAACTCAACAAGAAGTCTTTTGAAGACTAGCGATCCGCCTCGGCTTGGCACTCGTAGTAAAAGTCTAAAAAAAGTATATTAAAAAAAAATTGTTGAACTGATCGCTATCAAACTTCACAGGATTGCCCGTTGGGCTAATCTGAAGACCGCCTGAAAGCCTGATTTTAAGGCTTTCTTATATTAAAAAACTTTGCGTTATTAATACTTCTTCAATATGTGAAATATATAATTATGTACTAAACATTCATTGAACAAATAAACTTCGAGAAACAAAAATATTGGTGGATACCATATCTTAATTAGGCATATTATTTAATTTATTATATATGCATCGTACATTATCAATTATGAGATAAGTTTGGAGCGTTCGTGTCATATCATGTTTAAAAAAAATGTGAACGTGAACTTGCTCTTGGAAGATCATGTTTTTCCTCTTATTGATTAGAATAAAATTTAACTGGCAATTTCAATTCTTAGAACTATTTCATGAAGAAAACAATAAGAGAACGGTATTTAAACTTCTATATCTTTCTTATCCTTTAAACGAGCAATTCTTGTATTATATATATATATAATCGGAATCTCGGAAACGGCTCCAGCCATTTTCATGAAATTTAGTATGTGCGTAGATTCGGGGGCGAAAAATCGATCTAGCTAGGTTTCATTTTTAGAAAATGTCCTTTAATCCCTGTTTTCAGGGAATGAAAAATAACATTCGATATGACGGTAAATTTCGCCTCAAAAAAAATTTTATAATACCTCAACAAAAAAAAACAGGCCCCAAAACAGACGGCCGTGGTTCGTGTCACGATCATTTACACACTCTTTTTTTTACTTTTTTTTTTCGATTCCAGATCATTGCTTTCTTTATTTTATATTATTTTTGATCCAGATGATTTTGTTAAGTTTTCCCTTTTTTTTAAGTTGTTTCTTTTGTAAAAAACACCACTTCATATTTTCTTATTATTAGGTCGGTAAGATCGATAAATATTATGAATATTTCATTACTCAGTAATTTGTATCTAAATGTAATTTCCAAAATACACGTTTTACAAAAAAAAACTAACAAGGTACTTTATACTTATGTGTCGAACAGTGCGTAAATCGAACCCACGTCTTCCAAATCTTTTTTTCTACAAACTTTAACGAGTATGTCAATTCTCCGTTTACCGTGTTTTTAAATTCTTGCTCTATCGCCGAACTGTGTTATTTATTTTTTATTAAACCGACTATAGCTGGCTACGCAACAGTTGTTAATTAATTGTTTTGGGTTACATAATATAAGTGGCATGGAATGAATATAATATTATCAACTTGACCCAACCAATCACCACTATCTGTCGGCTCTCGCACGATTCACTGTTTTATTCTAGATTTACATACCTAATTGTTTTTTAATCAGCTAACTATCCACTGTACTGTTTTAAGATAGTCTATATCATACTTCTTTTCCTTTAAAGTTACATAGGTACCCTGGTGAAGACTTAAAACTTAGGGAGGATGTTAAATTTTTTTTAAGCCTATAAATAGCCCCAAAATCAAAATAAATCAAGGTAATAAAACTAGTCACTTTCCAGTCCTAGTAACCTCAACGAATCTAGGAGAATCTATAATTGTAGACGCAAAAGCTAGTTTGATTTTAAATAGAGTTTCGAATCTAGTTTGATTTTAAATAGAGTTTCGAATCGAAAATCATAAAGGATTGCAGATGCGTTGTTGCTCTTTAAATTAAGTGGGCCCCGGCTAGCTCACTCACCAGACGAAACGCAGATAACCGGCGTGTAGTGGAAGTATTATACTTTCGCGTTTCGTCTGGAAAGTGTAAGGTAACCGGGGCCCACCTTTCACAAAGATTGTCAACTCATCTGCAAGCCCCCCGTGCTACTACAACCTATTTTCTTCCCGACATCTCTTACACCCTGGATATATCCTAAAACAATTGATTTACTCGTAAAACTCACCCAGTATCGCAGGGGGTACGCTTAAAACTTACCCGGTACTGCAGGCGGTACTCGTAAAACTCACACGGTACTCATAAAACTCACACGATACTCGTAAAACTCACACGGTATTCGCGAAACTCACATGATACTCGTCAAAGTCACACGGTACACGTAAAACTCACACGATACTCGTCAAACTCACACGGTACTCGTAAAACTCACACGGTACCTGGATACCTAATATGGACCCTGGTCTGAAATAAAGATTTATTATTATTATTATTATTATTATTATTAAACTCACCCGGTACCGCAGGCGGCGTCGAGCACCCTGACGCAGTTGTGCCTCCTGAGGAGTCCAGACAGGAAGTCCTTGTAGTTCTGCGTCCTCTGGTTGCTGTCGCCTATGTACTTCTTCCAGATCCTCGCGGCCTTCCCGTCCGCGTACTGGTCCTTGACACCCTCGGAAGGGATTCCTTGCGACCGCGAATGGAAAACCTTGTCGGCGGACATTTTGTCTTAGCTGAAATTAATAATATATATATTTTTTAATAACCAAAAACAAAAACCGACCTCAAATCTCGCTCTGTGTTTTATAATTGATCTTCAGGAGTTCCCTAAGCATCTCCGGAGCCCAAGATCCAATACCAATGAAATTAATATGGGACCACATGAGCGACCAGCTTTCAATTTAAAAAAAATCATCAAAATCGGTTCCCTCTGTATAAAGTTCTGAGGTAACGAACATAAAAAAAATACAGTCGAATTGAGGACCTCCTTCCACCTTTTGTAGTCTGTTGAATATGGCGTACCAATATACATTACAAGGAAATTGAATTCGTCTTTTATAAATTAATGATCAGTTCCTGAAACTCGAATCGGTTCAAGAAATTTTTACTACATAGGTACGCTATTAAACTTTTTAACCGCCTTCAAAAACGAACTGGTTCTATGTGAGACTGTATGTATTTTTTTAATGTACTATGTTCACCGACTTCTTTATAGTGCTTATCTCTGTACTTAACGTAAAACATTAATATTTGTAGAATAATGGACGAAAAGTTTGCCACCGCTGCGGGAGTCGAATTAAGATCTGGGGGCAAATGCGGAATTCGCGCACAGACACTTTAACCGCCAAGCATGTTGCCATACCAACGAAAACAAACGTATTTATTAATTGTATCTGAAATTATATCTATATTGTTTTTTCGCAACTTTTCGACTATTTTCTCCACAAATATATATATTTTTTCTATTAGTTTATACGTACGCTATATTTAAATCGAACAGAAGTAAGATTTAGACCTATAATGCGACGGTTGATCGTTATAATGTCACGATTAAATATAAACATTGTTTAACTTGTCTCTAAGCAATAATAATAGGAATTGTGATACGGTTTATTTGAAGATCATTTGTCCGTCGAAATTCGTGGCACACAATATTACTGATAAATTCGGTAATATGTGTGGTTTTTGGTTTGATGAATACCGTGACTTAGTTCCCCACCCTTTGGCAATGAATACCCCTCAGCGAACTCTTGTACACACGATATAACAGATTTGTTTCTTATAGACTTGGTTGCATAGGTATTGGCGTTATTCGTCAAAATTGTTTAATTTATCAATGTATAATATTCGCCTTAATGCGAGAAACCATCATTATAAATCATTTATATTGGATGAGATAACAAAATAAACTCTTGGCGAACATTAACTTAAGATTTAATAAAACTGTGTAACGTAATGACTACGCTATAACAAATAAACATGTTATACTACAGAATTATAAGGAATCATTCTATAAACCATTTTATAAATAAGCTTAAAAATCACCCGAAATCCTGAGAAAGTTTACTTATTTATATTTTAAATCTTTTATGCACAACAATTGTAGAGTCGTCTCTACATTGTAAACAATTTGGTCCAGCGTTTTTAATCACACTTATATGATTCCGTTTATATTACATTACAGTTAATTAACTAAAATGATTATTATAATATGCCTTTTATTATTATAAATAGCCTATGTTTCAGAAGTGAAATTCTCACAATCCGGTTGTTATAAAAAATATCCAATAAAACCAGTACACGTGTCTTCGAGATATTTTTTTGTTATTATTTCGAAAATATGCAGATTTCCTCACGATGTATTCCTTTACCGCTGAGCACGAGATAAATCAGCACATAAAATTAAAAATTTCATTGGTGCCGGCACCAGGGATCGTATGATCGAACTCAGGTTATGCGAGTAAATTGAATTAAAAGCGAGCCTCCGGACAGTGAGCTATCACGGCTATAATACCATATAATAATAAAATTATTTAGGAAAACGTTTTTTGTTGCAACCTTGATGAAATATGAATGTTTTCAAATATTATTAAATCGCTTATCAGATCTTAAATGACCACATAAAATGGAATAAAGGTTTCTAGCTTGACGCAAGGTGGCATTCTGGTGTAAGTTCTGGTCTAGACAACAAAAAAAACAAAACTATAAAAAATGTACATAATTTCGAAATATTACAAAAAATATTTGCCGTGAAGTTAGTTGCTTCGCATTACCAATAAAAACTTTTTGCATTTACCAGTAATTATAAGTGATTTAAATAGACCGTTATCAATTGTATTTAACTTCACGCTAAAGAAGTATAGCTTCTTACGTGCGTTCATACGTACACAGACACTTTTTTTAAGTTACACGTACCTAACTAGCGAACCAATATCACACGACCCAGCTGGCAACACTGACCACTGATGGGACATCACCTCGCGACGACATTTATACTGGCCGTATGTTGAAAATTCTCGACACGAAATTTTCTTTACCTTATCAGCGGTACGGTTGATACATTATTGAGGAAATAACCTGAAATGCCCTCGTTGACTAAATATATGTTTCATGACTCCCTGGCGCAGTTATCAAGGTATTGGCTTCGGCGTCAGGGGTCGTGGATTCGATCCCCACACGGGACAATTATTTGTGTGTCCCACAAATAGTTGTTTCGCATCTGGGTGTTTGTCCGCAAGAAATTTGTGTTTGTAAAACGTCCCTACAACACAGGATAATGTTACCCTAAAGTAAGAGCAATGTTTTTTTTATAAAAGACGGTCAGGTTTCATGTCTATTTGTGAGATGGAAATGCGTTACTTCCGCTTAACAATGACATTGTATTTGATAATTATAAACCATGTGCTGACATTACAAAACACCTTCGTTAGTACAGATCCATCGACGAATTTGTAAGTCGTAAAATATAGTAACAGCCTATACAGAGAGTATTACACCCAGTTTCCGAAAGCGCAATCAATTTTAATTTACGATAAATCTCTTGTCAAACATTGTTTAACATGATCTGAGTTGCTAGAACGTCTGAAAACAACATTGATTTTGATTTGCAATTAGTCACTGATTAACGGACAATCAACAGAAAATCGAGTTTTTGAAAGCGTTTTTCGGTGGTCAACGAGCTGTCAAAAATTTTATTAAGTAATCTGTCAATTTGGACGATCAATCGTTGGTTAAAAATGTATTTTATCAAAAATCTTAGTTTTTATTAGAAATAAACATAATTCCCTTATACGTTATAAGGAAATTCATGCGTTCTATTACCTATTTATGATTATGCGAACATATCATGCGATTCGAAAAAATAGAAAATGCAATTCAAAATTTAATAAATAATATGGATTCTTTCTTTTTATAATACTTACTTGTTTATTATGGATAAAAGTTCATTTTTTTCACGTTCTGTAATGTTTTTTCTTGACATTTTGCATGTATTTATATAAATTAATTTATTATAGCTCGGATTTTTACGTTGGCAATCACACGGTGACAGGACTGGATAGTGACGTTAATTTAAGTTTTGTTTAAAAAGGGACAGCTATACAATAGAAAGAGTTAGTTGAAGTAAATCATTCATTTCAATCATTATCGTTGGTTATACAGTGATTAGCTAATTTTTCTTGAACAAACCTTCCAGAAACCCAAGGCAGTTTAACAAGAGATTAACAGCTGATCATTTTTGACATAGTGTTATGTGATTGCTGCTTTGATTGGCATTTCGGAAACTGGGCATTAGTGCGCGACCCCACAGCGAATTTTCAATATTTTTTTGGGTTATTGATACGTAAATATGCAGGTTTCCTCACGATGTTTTCCTTCGCTGCTGAGCAGGTGATTGATAGGTACATAAAAGTAAAGTAAAGTAAAGTAACAGCCTATATATGTCCCACTGCTGGGCAAAGGCCTCCTCTATACAGAGGGCATCAGGGCATAGTCCACCACGCGGCTCCACTGCGGATTGGCGGACTTCACATATCTTCGAAAAACATTTTTTTTTATTTTTTCGAAAATATGCAAGTTTCCTCACGATGTTTTCCTTCACCGCGGAGCACGTGATAAGTCAGCACTTAAAGTTAAAAACTTCATTAGTGCCAGCACCGGGGATCAAACTCAGGTTGCTCGAGTGTATTGAATTAAAGGCGAGCGCCCGGACACTGAGCTATCACGGCTCTTAAAGGTACATAAGCACCTTAAATTAACAACTATTTGCCAGCTATATTTGCCAGATATACATGTACGAGAGATCATTACCCTTTTTTATCTGTGCGTTTTGATATATTTTTAATAATATCATTCACTTTTTCTGTCTGCAGACTTTATTAAGCTTTACTGAGCACTGAGCTGGTGGAAAGTAAGTTTCCTCAAGCCAGATGCAGCTCAGCAAGCAGAGCACATGCGAAACTTAAGATTGTGCGTAGTGTCTCAGACCACTTTTAGTGACGTACCTTTAATCTGCATTATATAGGAATGGGAAAGTGATTTTGTGTATATATACGATGACCCATTTGGCATTGTAACACATATTGGCTGCGGTAGCGAGGGAAGGGCGTTCAATTCCCACATTGGGAATTGAAGGTTAAAAATTAGGTTTTTATTGAGCTAGCGCGTTCACCATTAAAGGCTGCATCGCCACTTACCATCATCCATGTCAAGCTCTGGCCAGTTTTAAATTTAAAAAAAAATAATTGGACAAGTACTTATGTGACTCACGAGTAATTGTTAAGGATAATGTAACGTTTTTGTTTTAAATATGAAGAAACAGAAAAGTGTAAGAGCATTGTGCCCATTACACATACAAGAAAATACATTTTTGTAAATAAATACATGTTGTTTAAACATATAAATCACATGTTGTTTAAATTGAAACCGGCGTGGTGAACGTAGAGTGCAGTGCAGCGTGTAGCAAGTCCAAATAGATCGATTTTCATTTCGAAGATTGTGAACGCCGCCTTACGGAATATAATTCTGTCACAATATCTGTCATTATCTTATACAATGGTACAAAGCAAAGAAAGCAACTTCAAGTAAGCCGTAAATAAACAGTGCTTTTACTCCCTCTATGGGATAACTCTTAAACCTCACAGAGACACAATATTAGTTGCCATATATTAGGTAGGTCTGAGAATCGGTCGTAATCTGTTTTTCATACTCCTAAGTGATAAGGGT